TGTATTAGGCACTCTGCATTTTGCATTTATTCTGCGTTCTCTATTCTGCACTCTATTCTGTATTTCACATTCTGTATTTATTCTGGGTTCTGTATTCTGCACTCTATTATGTATTCTATATTCTGGGTTCTGGATCTTTATTCTGGGTTCTGTATTCTGCATTCTGTATTTATTCTGGGTTCTGTATTCTGGGTTCTCTATTTTGCGTTATTCTGTGTTCTGTATTTATTCCGTGCTCTGTATTCTGCATTCTGGGTTCTCTATTCTGCATTCTGTATTTATTCTGCGTTCTGTATTTGTTCTGGGTTCTGTATTCTGCACTCTGGGTTCTGCATTCTGTATTATGTATTCTATTCTATTTTGTACATTCTGTATTTATTCTGCATTCTGGGTTCTGCATTTTGGGTTCTGCATTCGATATTAACTGTACTGTTATTTATTTGGTGTTCTGCATTCTCTATTCTATTATTTGCTTTATGTATTCTGAATTTATTCTGTATTCTGCATTTTGTATTCTGGTTCCCCTCATGGAACCCTCATGAAAATGCAAAGTCAGTGCAGGAAACCAGATTCACTTAACAACTGCTTAATTCACTTAACAACTGCAGTGGTTTGCTTAAATCCGTGGCAAGAGAGGTCGTAAAATGAGATTTGAATTATTTAACGGCCTTGCTTAGCAATGCAAGTTGTGCTTTTGGTTGTGGCCATAAGTCGAGGACAACTTATCCACATTGTATTAATGAAACAAAGATGTAGGTCCACAAATATATTGTAAAAACCACAACGACAGACAAAAATTCAGCTTACAATCACAGATTTAACTGGATTTTTTTTTTATTTCTGCCATTTCAAGCCATTTATCGCAAAACATGTATTTGTCAAATCATTCAAGTTCCAAAAGACAGATCTGGAAAAAAAAAATCAGTAATATCAAGGCCTCACGGTAAAATCTAATTTTTATCCCAGTCAAATCTAATGTTATCATTCTTAAAAGAACGCAAGTACTTCTACCTTGGTTTTTTGCGAGCTATCAAACAATTTAAAAAGTCGTCCACTGTTATTGCTTTCTGAATTTTTACTTATGAACGAAGCCGGAGCTAAAATTAAAAAGATTGCCAGTGCAAATTCTCCACACAAAAAAATATTTACAAAATTTTAACAGACACGCACATCTGCTATTCTGAACAATTATTGCAAATTTGCTGCTAGAGTCTGTGCTTTTGAGCACAGCGAAAAAACACATTTTTAATGCATATTTTCCTTGCAATCAACTTTATAAAGCCGGGGCATCTTCTATATACTATTGTATTTTTCAAAGTATAAGACACACTTTATTCTCCCCTAAAAGAGGGTGGAAATGTTGGTGCGTCTTATACACTGAATACAAGTCATTTTTGGCCTCCTGAAGCCCTGCCCCGCTCATCCCATTTTTGCCAAAAATGGGCCTGTTTTTCACAAAAACAGGATGTGCATAGGGTTTGGGAGGCCTGCAGAATGCTCCTGGAGGCTGGGGAGGGCAAAAACGCCCCCATTTTTGCAAAAAACGGGAGCATTTTTGCCTTCCCCCAGTCCCTAGGAGCACTCTGCGGGCCTCCCAAATCCTATGCACACCCTATTTTTTGCAAAAACGGGCAAAAAACCCTCCATTTTTGCAAAAAACGGGACGCACAGAGGGTTTGGGAGGCCTGCAGAGTGCTCCTGGGGACTGGGGAGAGCAAAAATCTTTTTTTTTTCATACTTACCTCTTTGAAATCTTGGTGCGTTTTATACACCGGTGCCACACCACACATATACATACATACATACATACATATATCTTGGCCCCTCTGGGTTTTCTGTTCAGGTGGCAGAATTTTTCCCGAAATCAGTTTTATACTAGGCACATATACAATTTTTGCATTTAAAAAAATGTGGGTTTTTTAAAAAAAACATGCGATAAGGCATATGGGCGAAAGGAATAATTGCATAGCGAACGCGGATGTAATTCACGCGACACCTTCCGCGGCAAAAGCCAAGGCCACTTGTGAGTTTTCAAGACACAAATTTTGCAAGTGTTAATTCCCATCTCAGTGCTAAAGCGTCAAAGAATTTTATTGGCATAGCCATAGACAGAAGTGCATAGGAAAATCTAGGTAAACCAAGGTATTTTCTTCCCTAATAAATCAGACAATTTGATTGCGATTGTCTTGGGCGATCAAATCCCCCAAAGAAAAAAACCAGAAACTTTTATTAAAAAAGAGAAGGGAGGACCGTTTTTGTCCTACTGCTAAAAGTTCTCCTGAACGAAGTTCCTAAAATTTCACCCCCTTACTGAGAAATTTGAGCGACTTAATTCTAGAGTTATGTCTTATTTCTGGTGAAGAATTGCAAAATTCTTTACTGTACTCCCAACCCTGAGAGCAACAACGGATCAAAGTTATTATTTCCTCTCCATCACCTACACATTGACAAATAATGTAAAAAAAAATCTATTTTTAATTAGCACACAGTTCGAAAACATCCTTCCATCTCCGTCACCTACACATTGAAAAATAATCTTTAAAAATCTATTTTTAAATCAGCAACAGACCAGTGTTAAATTTAATATTTAAAATTTTTCCCCGTGTTTGCCATTCAAGACTTGAAACTTGGAAGAAACTGATGCTGCAATCTTTTTCCTTTGCAACTTAATTGTGCTTCTCCTTTCCCATTCAGTGGAAAGAACGTAATTTTTTTACATTGCAAAATTTAAAAAAAGTTTAGGCTGAACCACATATCAAAGTCATTCTGCATTTTGGAAAGTTATGTAAGAGAGGAGGCTTCATTTATTTATTAAATTCTTACGCTGCCCTGCATCGCTGTGTCCATCAGATGGCTGGCATACAAAATTAATAAATAAAGAATATATATCTTTTTTAATGTAATCCAGAATAAACTGTGGGAAACGGGATCCATGCCATGGATGGGAACAGACATCCTTCCCTTTAAAAATCCCCAAAGTTTGAATTTTGAGAACAAAAATGGATTCCTGTGGGACGCGATACAGCAATTGGGAGTTCCCTGGTCTTACTTTTCAACCCTGGGAGAAATATATATATATATACATACATACATACATACATACATACATATATACATACATACATACATACATATATATATATATATATATATTCATCTGTGTAACCCACAATTCCAAGTGGCAGCACAAATGGAGAATGTGATGTTGGTTAAAATGAAAACCTAGCTTAGCTGGAGAGCTATTTTGAGTTTCTGCAGGAATGGAGATTCAGGGTGGACTTAAGCTGGGTTGTTTTTTTTGAGGAAAATATATATATATATATTACTATGATTCAATCGTAGGTTTCTCAGCTTGCATCCGACAAACGCACCCAAGTTAAAACAGAGGCGTAGACAAACATTTGAAAAGCTGGCTTGTTTCGCTCTTCCTTCCCTGTTAGACAAAGTCTAAAAGTCCCAAAACCAAAAAGACCATCAGAGGTTGGTCTACAAACAGGGCTTCCTGCTTGAGGAGGGGGGCTGGACTAGATGACCTCCAAGGTCCCTTCCAACTGTTATTCAGAGGAGGAGGAGGAAGAGAAGAGAGAAGGAGAAGGGTTTCCTGTCTGATTAGAGGTTTGGACTAGAAGGCCTTCCAATTCTGTGACTCTTGTTCTTCTGTTCTATTTACAGTCTATAAAAACTTTCCTAAGGTTGAAGGTCGATGACTCACCTATGCTTTTACGGTGATGTTTTTAATTTTCCTGTTTTTCTTTTAGCCCCGCCAAGATCGAGCTGTGAAATTCCCTTTATTTTAATATAAAACTTTTAAAAATTGGGCTGCCACCCGGATTTGGCTGGCGAGGGCATTTGGATATTTGGCAAATGGAATTAGCCATCCAATTTCCTTCTTTTTTTTAGGGCATTGGTAGAGGTTATGAGATTTCAACCTTGGGAACAAACAAGTCCTCACTGGTTACTACCACTCCTTACTCACGGATCTGCCACATAGCTAAGAAGGATGTAGGACGCCACCTTAAAACCGCAGCTCAAGATAAATAATCTTTTCAAAGGAAAGTTTCTAGGCCTCAAGAAAACCAAAATGTTTATCGTAAGGTTTGATCATGAAGAACGCGGCCACAATTTTTTCCCCCCTACCTTAAATGGGGATTGATTGTCTAAACATGCAGAGATGGTTAATCCCATTTTTTTCCACCCACACAAAACAATAATAATAATAACTTGCAAACCGGAGCTTTTGAAATTTAGCACAAATGTTTTCTGGATTTTTAACGCAGGCCGAAGAGGACTCATTGGCTATGTCATTCTTTCAATCTTGGTTAAATCTGGTTTTATTTCTGCCTGCCTTCCCAAATCAATTTCACATTGGGATTGATTAGAAATATTAATCAATCTTTTATTGCTTTTTAATTTTCCCTTCCTCCCACAGAAGGCTATCAATTTTCCCTAGCTGCACTCTTATTAAAAATGAGTGTTTAAAGTATTTCAGTCTTCCATCAAACACTTGTGTAACTAATTTACACAAACACTAAACTCTTGTTTAACCAATTTAATCACTTGACACAAATGCTAGCTAAACAATTGGTTAACCAATTTAACCAAGCTACCCAATTTAACCAAACACTAGTTAAACACTCGTTTAACTAATTTAACCAATCAATTGACACAAATGCTAATTAAACAATTGGTTAAACAATTTAACCACTCTATACAATTTAATTGAACCCTAAAACTCATTTAACCAATTAAGAAAACACACTAGTTAAACACTTGTTTAACCAGTTTAACCAAACACTAATGAAACACTCGTTTAACCAATTTAAGCAATCTACCCAATTTAACCAAACAATAATTAAACACTCGTTTAACCAATTTAACCAATTTACAGAACTGCTAGTCAAACACTTGTTTAACCAATTTAACCAATCAGCCCAGTTTAACCAAATACCAGTTAAAACATTCATTTAACCAATTTAAACAAACACTAGTTAAACACTCATTTAACCAATTTAAGTGATTTACGTGTTTAACCAATTTAACCAATCTACCCAATTTAACCAAACACTAGTTAAACACTCCAACCAATTTAACCAATGTATTTGTTTAACCAATTTAACTAAACACTAGTTAAATACTTGTTTAAACACTAAATCTAAGATGAGAGAGATGCATTGAGCAAAGGAGAGGACTCAAAAGTCGGTCCTAAAACAAGGAATTCCCTAATTCCATAAGTTTCATTTCGGCACACTTGTTAAAGCATCATTCCTTATAGTTTTTCCCAACTGGGACAACTTTTGAGATGCGTGGACTTCGACTCCCAGAATTCCCCAGCCAGACACATCAAAGTGGAATTCTGGGAGTTGAAGTCCACACATTTTAAAATTGCCAAGATTGAAAACAATCATTTGAAAGCAATGCTTCTGATCCAGCTTCAGAAAAACCATTTCCTGAACTTCACAACTTTGCGCATCCTTTAGCAAATCTTAAAAATGGAACAATTATTGTGCTGTCCTTAGTTCCTCCGAATTTAGCCCGTTCCCGGGACGGTCCCGTTTGTCGTAATCCGTGCAGAATAAACACACTTCAACTTGTGTGTGAAGTGTCGTTGCGTTCTGCCAATCTCTCAGTTTAGAAAAAAAAAGGCACTTTTTCACCAACTGATCCAGAAATCTTATTTTTTCCCCCCCTCCTTTGTTCTCATCTGGAAATCTTGTTAAAAGTTATTTCAAGAGGCCCAAACTTTATATTGCCAGGAATTGTATTTTAGGCGGTGATCCAGGTCTATTTTTCAAACCTCCAGAGTTGGTTTTTATCCGACGGATTACACGTCCTCATCTTTACATCCGCGCGACCTTCTGGTGTACGGTAAGCGCTTAGACATTTGGTGGAGTGAGGATGGTAGATGGTGCCATCTTTTTTAAAATGCCATATTATGCTTTCCGGCACGGAAGATTTATCCTTCGGACAATTTCTCATGCCGACAAAATCCTTCTGCTCCGGCACTTCGGCACAGAGTTCAGTCACCGAATTGAAACGGATTTCCAGATTGGACGTGTATTCGAAGAATTGATTGCCGCCTTGGCCGTGACATCCGAAAAGGCTCACGTGAGCCCCGGTGGGATTGTGTTCTGGCGAGTTGTAATCCAAACATTCGGAAGAGATGCCCAGGTTGTGGATGGCGCCGTGCCAGCCGTGCCGATCCTCTGGGACGTGTAAATTGGGGAAGACGGTTTTCAAATACCAGTCGAAATTTTGACACTGCAGACGCTGCCGTAAGAGTTTCCGTTCGGTGAGGTCGCCAAAGTTCTCCTTACGCGCTGGAGGATTCCGGTTGTAGAAATGTTCTTTGTAGTGGTCCATCCAGACTTCGGCGGCCCGAGCAGTGTTCTGTAGAAAGTTAGGCCTGGCATACGGAGCCCGTTTTGGAAAGACGTGTCCAACGTGGGAACATGGGTGGATTTCCAAGACACCGCCACACTGCCAGACACGGAAAGAGAGTTCCAAGTTCTCACCACCCCAGACGTCCATACCGGTGTCATACGTGCCGAGGTACTCGAAGTATTTCCTGCTGACAGCAAAGAGGCCGCCGGCCATAGTGGGTGATCGGATGGGATCCACTTTGGACTTCCGGCGTCGCCTCTCATAGTCGGGAACCACCTGCCACTGAAAGGTGAGCCGCCAGTCGAAGCCGCCGATCATGGGCTCGCCGGATTGCATATAAAACTCAAACGTATTCCAATCGATGGTGTCGATCACCGGACAGATGACGACAGAATCGTTCCAGGCGATTCGTTCCAGCAAGGGCTCCAGCCATCCGGGGATGCACTCGCAGTGGCAATCCAGGAAGGTGAGGACTTCGCCAGTGGCGAAGGTGGCGCCGATCAGCCGAGCGCGGACCAGCCCTTCCCGCTTCTGGGTGCGGATCAGGCGCACCCGGGGCAGGCGGCTGAGGTAGGCCTCCAGCTGGCCCTTCAAGTACGCCCGGTCACTGAGATCGTCCACCAGAATGACCTCCTTGAGTATGACGGCTGGGCTGGTTTCCAAGACGCTGTGCACTGTCCGCAGGAGGGTGGACCAGGCTTCGTTGTAGAAGGCGATGACCACCGAGGTGGTGGGCAGCCGGCGGTACTCATAGGTCTTGGCTTTGCACTCAGGCATACGACCGTCCTGGATGTGACGGTGCAGCGAGATGCGGTCGCTAAGGTAGACGTTGATGGCGTAGCGCTCCAGCAAGAGTTCCTCCTGTCGCTTCTGCTCCGCATCCAAGCTCAGGTGGGATGCTTTGCCCCATTCTCCCGGCGCAGAGGGATCCGGAGGGGGTTTGGACTGGACGGGTTGGGAGAGTTGCTCGGGCAGTGGGGAGGAAAGACTCCCGGGGGTCCCTCTTCCAGCTAGGGCGCCCGTGGGCGTCCCGAAAGGAGACAGAGGCAGCTGGAGAGCTAGGAAAGCCGCCACGCTCAGCAAGGCCAAAAGCGCGCAGCCCCGACGGGCCAGCCGGGTTCGCATGGCCGAGGAGGAGGAGGAGGAGAGGCGGCCGTAGCAGCGAGGACGATCGCAAGACGAGGAGGAGGAGGAGGAGGGAGGAGGAGGAGAGGCGGCACTGACGCCTCCTCCCCTCCCTCCGCCCGCCCAGCCGGGGCGCGCCCGGCGGTTGTAAATGGGAGATTGTGCGCGCTTCGCTTTGCTTCGCTTGCTTGCATGCATGCATGCTTGCATGCTTGCTGCATGGCTGCGTTCCGGCGGGTTTGGGGGTGGGGGGCTAGGGAGGGGGGGAGGAGAAAGGGGGGCTTGCCCCGCGTCTTGAAAGAACAGGGAAGCCCCCTCTCCCACCCCAGATGGAAAAAGGGTACCCAGCGAAGACCTGGCGGGCAGCTTGCGAGAAAAATAAAACCACGAGTGGGGTGGGGAAGATCGCGAGGTTGGATTTTGGGCTGAAGTCTTAGGGCGACCTGTTCCTTCTGTCTGTCTGTCTATCGATCTATCATTTAGTGTCTATGTGTGTATAAGACACACACACACATTTATATATAATCTTTTGAGAGTGGGCATCAATTTCATTGTTTAATAATGCGTGCCAGGGTGTTCGCCAAAAAAAAGCGACAATAAAGGTTATCATCTTCATCATTATTATTTTTTAAAATTTGATTTATATGCCGCCCTTCTCCAGAGACTCAGGGCGGCTTGCAGTGCGTTAAGCAATAGCCTTCATCCTTTTGTATATTTACAAAGTCAGCTTATTGCCCCCACAATCCGGGTCCTCATTTCACCTACCTTAGAAAGGATGGAAGGCTGAGTCAACCTTGAGCCTGGTAAGATTCGAACTTGCAATAATTGCAGGCAGCTGGTCTTAATCACAATGCTATCAGTCTGCTGAGCCCCCAGGCCCTTAATTTATCTGTCAAGTCATCTATTTTGTTATCCATTAATCCATCCACTTCAACTGGGAGTTGAAGTCCACACTTCAGAAGAACAGAATAATGGAATAAGGGGTGTCCCAAACCGTCCAGGTTATGTAATGAGAGAGGGAGGGCTTACCAAGATAAATTCGTCTAGACGAGGGGTCTCCAAACTTGGCAACTTGAAGACTTGTGGAATAGTATAGAATGGAATAGAAAAAGGAGAGGAGAAGAGACAAATATGGAATAGAATAGAAATAATAGAATATGGAATAGAGTAGAGAAGAATATGGAATGGAAAAAAATAAGGAATATGGAGAATAGAATAGGATAGGATAGGATAGAATAGGATAGGATAGGATAGGATAGGATAGGATAGGATAGAATAGAATAGAATGAATTATGGAATATGGAATAGAATAGAAGAGATTAGAACAGAATAGAATAGAATAGAATGAGGTGGAAGGGACCTTGGAGGTCTTCTAGTCCAGCAACCTCCAACTCCCAGAATTCTTCAGCCAGCCATGACAGATAACGAATTAAATTATTTACAAGGAGAAATTTGGTTTCTGATGTAGATGGTAAAGGTTTGAACCCTGAGCTGAGTGCAAATTTAGCCACGGGGAATTTGCCGAAAAGGAATCTTTTTTCCTGCAAAATGCATCAAAGGTGGGATAATTTCTATGAAATCACATCTAAAAATAATGTGGCTTTATTTCTGGAACTGTGGCCATGAGGGATACCGCTAGTCCTTGATTTACAATATTAATTTAGTGACAGTTCCAACTTACAATGGCACTTTAAAAAAACATGACTTAGGACGGTTGTTCGCCCTTAATGACTGTCACAGCATCTCTAGGCTCCTGGGATCAAAATTCAGATGCTTGGCAACTGCCTCATCTTTACGGCGGTCGCCGCGTCCCCGAGAGTGTGTGTGTCCCTTTTGCAACCTTCTGATGACCAGATTCACTTAACGACTGCAGTGAATCGCCTAACGGCAGCGATAAAAGAACCAAATTCACTCTAGCGATGTTTCACTTCGCAACCAAAATGCCAGGCTCGGTTGCAGTCGTACATTGAGGACTAGCCAGGTTTGAGTCTAAACAGAGAAGGTTTCTGAAGACGCCTGCGAACATTGAAGACAGCCCCAAAAACAAATATTGGAGCTGAAAAGATGACAGACCCGCAATATATGAAGAAATATATTTGTGTGTGTGTATGTGTGTCTGTATGTGTACACATTGTGGGGAAATACCTTCCTTCCCGGATCTGAAGAATAAGACAAAGATGGAACAAGATAAGACACATACATATGTAAAGCATACCAGGAAGTGTTTTGTTTGTATTTATGCCCTTTTGAGGAAATACATTTGTGTCTGTGTGTGTGTGTATACATACATACATACATACATACATACATACATACATACATACAGACTGATATACAACCAAGCTCAGAGAGCAGCAAAGATTCTACACTCCTCCTCTTCTTCTACCACTTTGCAAACCCCTCTCCCTCCCAGCATTGATGATGTTCCCTAGTTGGGTCATGAAATGTCTGCAAAAGAAACCACCCAGCTCAGAGAGCACCAAGGACCTCTCGTTTCAATCCCGAGCTACCAATATTCTCTTTTATTGGCATTCTGGCATTAGCCAGAAGGATGTTTTCCCCAGTCTTAAATTTCACAGTGGGAAAGTGCCAGCAATTGTATCTGACAGTGTTGGGCGTTTATTTTTCTTCCACATTCTTGCCTACGGCCAAAAGGATGGATTTATTCCGAATTGCAATGGTGGCTCATGACCAAGGGGAGGTCAAACCACACAACAAATAACACACCCACGAAATCACATACTTCTCCCTTCCAAAGAAGGAAACTTTGTTCTCTGGCTCCACACCCAGATCGGAAAAAATAATGCAGGAACTTCTCCCCGACCGGCTGCAACGGAGAACATCGGCAATGCAGGCAGTCCTCGTCTTAAAAGACCGCAACCGAGGACCACATTTCTGTCCTTAAGCAAGACATTGGTCAAGTGAGCTTTTCCCCATTCGACGATCTTCCTTGCCACCTTTGTTTTTGTGGAGAGTGGGGGACCATAGTATCCACTTTATTAGCACAAAATGTACAACTTGAGGAGTCTTAATTATTAGCCAGGATGGGGGTGATAAATTAGGCAACAGTTTAAAAAGCAATGGGAAGGGAGGAAAGGAGGGAGGAAAAGAGAGAGAGCGAGAAAGAAAGAAAGAAAAAGAAAGACGAAGGAAGGGAGAAAGAAAGAAAAAAGGAAGGAAGGAAGGAAGAAAAAAGAGAAAGGAAGAAAAAATAAATAAAAAAGGAGGGAAGGAAGAGGAAGAAAGGAAGGAAGAGGAAGGAGAGAGGGAAGGAACTGTAGGAAGTTAGCACCCACCCCTTTCCTGGAAGAATGAAATATTTTAGGAAATATTAAAAAGGCAGAATATTATATTTCCCTGGATGAGAAATGGAGAAACATGTTTTAAAGACAAAGCAGCTTCCTGCCTCCCCCCTTGGTTAATGGGCCATAATCTGCAACGCAATAGGACCCATCTAAGACAGAAACTCACATGGCACCTGGGAAGATTACATCAGCCAGCAAGGCTAGCTAAGACCCCCACCCCCTGGGAGTCTGACAACCAATCAGGATACTCTTTCGGGGCCCCAGGAAATTCAAAGCCAGAGAGGGCATAAAACCCGGGGACTCGCTGTATCTCGCCCCTTTTCTGTTCAGGAATGCGAACCAGCATTTATTGTAACACCGTCGTGCAAATTCTCCAATTTTGGCGCACAACCGGTTTGTGACTGTTCCGAAAGCCGCAGCGAGAGGAGCCCCCGTTGCTTCCTTTGCGACTTTTGTAAAGCTTTGCGCACCACGAGGCTGCCAACGGTCTCATTCTGTCCCCAAACGTAAAAAACCGGCCACTCCAAAGAAAAGGTGCCTCTCACGAAATGACACAACGCAGCATGACTAAGGAGAACATTTGGTGGACGTTTTTGTTAAGGCAGGTTGGCAAATAGTCACCCAGGAAAGGTTGTACAAGAGTTTAAAACTGTTCTTGGTTTGGGACGGTACAGGTATTCCTCGACTTACAACTGTTCATTTAGTGACGGTTCCAAGTTGCAACGGCACTGGGGGATAAAAGGGACTGGGAACCGTTTTCATACTTATGACCGTCGCAGCCTCCTCATGGTCCTGAATTCACATGCTCAGCCACCGACTCGTGTTTACGACTGTCACAGAATCCTCCAGGGGGATCACACGATCTGCCTTTTACAACATTCCAATGAGCAAAACGGGGTAGCCCAGATTCGCTTAACCACGGAGTTACTGGCTTAACCACTGCAGTGATTCACTCAACGATGGTGGCAGAGAAGCTCGAAAATGGCGGCATACTCCCTGAACCCATGATTCACTTTTTAACAAATAAGTTTGGACTCCACTGCGGTCGTAAGTCGAGGAGTTCCTGACTTACCTAAACCTCCCTCTGGCCAAGAAAAGCGCAGTCGACAACAGGAAACTCTGTCAGTGGGTTTCTTTATGGTGTGAATATTTTTTTAAAAAAATAAAACCCACAAAGCAGCAAAGCCGAAAATTGTTATGCAGTGTGAAAGCCGTGCAAACTTTTTTGTTGCACCGAAATAAAAATAATAAAAATAAAAATAATAAAAATAAAAATAATAAAAATAAAAATAATAAAATAAAATAAAAATAAGTTTGCTTTGTTTGGACGTGCCTCTTTGATCGTCACGATCTCTGTGCTTGAGAAGGGAAGAGAATGAGTTCCAAAAAGAGACTGACATACTTTTGAAACACAGCCACTACCCAGAATAAATATTTGAGGGGAAACCTTCATTTATTGGAAGGGAGCTCCTCCATATTTCCACAGAAATTACTCAGCAGGAAGGGGCCTTTGGAAGCCGATAACCTAAATTTCTCAGTCGAGGTTTTATACCTGGTAACATACGTAGATAATTGCACTGAGGTGTCCTTGCTGCTCTCTGAGCTGGGTGGTTTCCTTGCAGACGTTTTGTGGCCCAACTAGGGAACGTCATCAGGGTTAGAAGGGAGGGGAGTTTGCGGCGAGGAGGAGGAGGTGGAGGAAGAGGAGGAGAAAAAAAGAAGAGGAGGAAGAACGAGGAGGAGTGTGGGGTCCTTGGTGCTCTCTTGGTTTGGTTTTCTTGACCAAACGGGAATATCATCAGGGCTAGCATCAATGCTATATCAATGCATAGAACTGATGATGTTCCCTAGTTGGGCCATGAAACGTCTGCAAAAAAGCCCAACATGCTCAGAGAGCGCAAAGCATCCCCACAGTCATTGTCTTCCTCCTCCTCCCTTTTAGCACTGATGATGTTACCTAGCTGGGTCATAAAACGTCCGCAAGGAAACAACCAAGCTCAGGGAGCACCAAAGATTCTACAGTTCTCCTCCTCCTCCTAATCTAAAAGTGTTATATTACCAATATAGGTAATATAGGTAATGGTAGGGTCCAAAATCAATCAATAATGCAAGTAAGTTGGGCTGGCCAACACCAGTAAGCCTCAATAAAGAGACTCTGTACGTGCTCTGGAGCTCCTCAATAAAGGTGGAATATAAAACTCTCTCCTGGGACTTTGACTCCCATCAGCTATCCTGCATTTTTTCTTTCTCTCTTCGACTTAAATTCTGTTTTTTTTTCTTTCTAAAACCAACCAGGGAAACAACTTGCAGGTTTTTGACCTCTGCTTAGGCACAGCAAGAAGAGTTTACTGCTAAAAATGATAAAATCTCCTTTTTTCCACTCTTTTTTTTTTTATTACCCCAATGCTGATTGCGAAAAAGGAAGCGATAATCAAGTAATAAAATGAATAGCTTTGTGGTGAAAGGCCGGAGAGAGCGTAAAATGAAATTGCCACCACAGGTCCCCAAAATATATTTTCTCAGCAAAAGAGGAAGGAGTTTCATTTAATGAGACATCCCTTAAATAGACAGGCCAGCAATCACAGGGAGTCCTCGACTTACAACCATTCGTTTAGGGACCGTTCAAACATCCTATGGTACAAATAAAGTGACTTACGACCAGTTTCACACTTACATCTGTTGCAGTATCAAGGGTCACCTGATCAAAATTTGACTGCTTAGCAACTGACTCGTTTTCATGACGGTTGCACTGTCCCTTTTGCGACCTGCCGACCAGCAAAGTCAATGGGGAAGCCAGATTCAGCTTACTAACTGAACCACTACAGTGATTCACTTAACAACGGTGGCAGGAAAGGTCATAAAAGGAGGTGAAATGCTCTGAACAATCATCTTGCTTAGCAACAGAAATTGGGGTGTCATAAATCGAGGACTTCTCGCACAGTAAAAGACTCGTAGAACAACCGACTTGGCTAGCAGCAGAAATTCGGATCCTTATTGAGGTCGTAAGTCGAGGACCACATGTAGCTAAAGAAAGACAACGTAGAGAGCTAAAGAGATGGATGGGTAACTTTCCTTAATGTGGCATATATATTACAGGCAGTCCTTCACTTACGATCACAATTGAGCCCCAAATCTCTGTTGCTAAGTGAGACAGTTGTTAAGTGAGTCTTTCCCCATTTTATGAACTTTCTGGCCACAGTTGTTAAGTGAAGCACCCCAAATGTTAAGTTACATAGTTAAGATAAAGCCCAACATTTCCGTTGCTAAGTGAGACAGTTGTTAAGTGAGTTTCCCCATTTTATGACCTTCTTTGCCACCGTGGTTAAGTGAATCCCTGCAGTTGTTAAATGAGTTACAAGTGAATCCGGCTTCCCCATTGACTTTGCCTGCCAGAAGGTCACAAAAGGGGATTGCGTGATCCCCCGGGATGTCATAAATATGAGTCAGTTGCCAAGCGTCTGAATTCTGATCATATGACCAAGGGGATATGGCAACAGTCGTAAGTGTGAACAACGGTCGTAAGTCACTTTTTTCAGGGCCATTTTAACTTCAAAGGCCACTAAACAACAAGGACCAACTGCATTTTCAGGTAGTCCTCGACTTACAAGTGTTCATTTACTCACTGTTCAAAGTTACAATGGCCCTGACAAAAGTGACAGGATCATTTTTCACAGTCAATGACAGTCGCGGACTCCTCACGGTCCCGTGATCGAAAGTCACACGTTCTGCTGACTCATGTTTATGACGGTCGCAGCGCCCCCTGGGGGTGTCATGCGATCCGCTTTTGCGACTTTCTGACGAGCACAGTCAATGGCGGAAGCCGGATTCACTTAACAGGGTGACTCATGTAACAATGGCAATGATTCACTTAGCAATTGCGGCCCCCCAAAAAGTAGTAAAACGGAGCAAATTTCGCTTCACTTAGCAACGTAAATTTGGGGCTCCATTGTGGTCGTAATTCAAGGACAGCCTGTATTTGAAAAAGCGTTGGCTTATCCAGAACAAGTATGCGCAAGGCAAAACTTGTGATTGTACACTGACGTAAGCATGCAACCCTCTTGTACCGAGTGTCTGCAACAGACACAATTCTTGTGAAATTTTAAGATCAATATGTAACCAGCCACACCAATACTGTAACTGTGGAGGCACACAGTTGCTTTAGTCATCACTTCCCTGGTTGTGTAACTCTTGGCTGAAAACAAAAAAGAGAATATCCAGGCCGGGACTCGCTTCAAAAGACGTCAATGGTGAGCCAAAGCAGAAATCATTTGAAGTGAATTGAAAAAGTAATGAACACTGTGAGCCAAATCAGAAAAAAATGGGAGAGAATTAAAAAAGAAATGAACACTGTGAGTTAAAGCAGAAAAAAAGAAATTAAAATTTAAAAAGAAATTAAAATTGGGAGTCAAAGCAGAAAAAATTGGAAGAGAATTAAAAAAGAAATGCTGAATGGGTACATGGCAGCCAGCCAGGTTGGAAAGCAGAGTGAGAAAGTCCTTGCATGCAAAGCAGAAATAATTCTGTTTTTTTGTGTGTGTGTTCTTGTTTCAAAGAAAGAAGCCAACTTTGACTGTTGAAAGGGTGGGGAAAATTTCTGAATTAATCGGCGGCAAGATGCTGAAAAGGCTCTGCAGGCATCTCCCAAATATCTCTATTTATTGATTTGTTCTATATGACTGGGGGTTTTGAAGAAGAGACTGGACATCCACCTGTCTGAAATGGTATATAGAGTCTCCTGCTTGAGCAGGAGGTTGGACTAAATGACCTCCAAAGTCCTTCCAGCTCTGTTATTCTGTCATGGTCTCTGCTCGAGCAGGGGGTTGGGCTAGATGACCTCCAAGCTCCCTTCCAGCTCTCTTTTGATTGATTGAAGTAATCCTAGATGTAAAATCACAGTTGAGCCCAAAATTTCTGTTGCTAAGCAAGACAGTTGTTAAATGAGTTTTGCCCCATCTGGTCCCCTGCCTAAAGTTGGTAGCAGAGTTGCTAAGTAAATCTGGTTTCCCCATTGACTTTTCAGGTAAGTCGATTTACAACACATTATTTAGTGACAAATGACAACAGCATTCACAAAAGTGACTTATGACCATTTCTTACACAAGCATCCCCCTAGTCACATGATCAAAACGTTCGTCAACTGACTCATATTTATGATGGGTTGCGATGTCCCGAGGTCACATGATCCCCTTTTGCAACCTTCCGACCAGCAGGAAGCCAGATTCACTTAACAACCCTGTGATTCCAAGAACAACTGCCGCAATTCACTTCAGAAAAATGGCAAGAAGAGTCGTAAAACGGGGCAAAGCTCACTTCACAAATGTCTCGCTTAGCAACAGACATTTGGGGCTCAACTGTGATTGTAAGCCGAAGACTGGTCAGAAGATCGGAAAAGGGGATCACATGACCCCAGGACACTGGTCTGAATTGTGATCTTAAGTCGAGGACTTCCTGTCCAGGAGAAAGCAACAGTCAGCCGTCAGACGACTTCATTTACAGGTAGTCCTCGACTTATGACCACAACTCAGCCCCAAATTTCCATTGCTAAGCGAGATATTTCTTCAGTGAGTTTTGCCCCATTTTACCACCTTTCCTGCCGCCGTTAAGTGAATCCATGTGGTTGTTAAGTTAGTCACACAGTCGTTAAGTGAATCTGGTTTCCCCATTGATTTTGCTTGTCAGAAGCTTGCCAAAGGGGATCATATGACCTCGGGAAGCTGCAATGGTCACAAATATGAATCAGTTGTCCATGAGGGAATACAACCGTCGTTAAGTATGACAAACAAAGTCACTTTCTTCAGCACTGTCATCACTTTGAACGGTCATTAAATGAACAGTTGTAAGTGGAGGACTACCTCTATTTGGATTTCACTCTTCGGTCAGGGGAAATGCTTAGGCATGAGAAGCAGTCCTCAATTTATAATTTTACGTCATTGTACGTCATGATGGTCATTAAGCAGGTCATCAGGTTACCATACCTGATTTTACAACCTTTTTTTCTGTGGCCGTCGTTAAGTGAATCCGGGGGTCAAGAGGCAGATTATACGATTGCCTCACAGACTGAAGGGAAGGCCCTAGAAATGTTTTAAATAAAGAAATAAAAATAAATAAGAGTCAATTATTTTCTCCCTCCTTCTGAGGCATTCATACAACTCTCTAAATCCAGCAACGGGCCTAACCCGTTTTTGGTGTCTGCCTACACGCATTAAGCGCAAATGTTGCGTTCACACAACGAGGTACCCTCCACAAACACTAAGCAGGCTGAATTTCCGCCCTCCCTCCGAGTTTCTTCCCTTTTTTCCATCCCTTTGGCCTGGAACAAAAGATGGCGGGAAAACCCGAGTCAACGAACTTTCCACTCGTTTGTTTTTTTTTGGCGCGTCGTGTGAACCCGCCACAAAAAAAAAAAAAAAAAAGCGCGGGAAAAAAAATCAGGGCCCCAACTCGTCTCACATTCCATTGTGCGGTCGCCCCTTGGCAACCGCGTCACCATGGCAGCGAAAGAGCCGCCGAGGCCCTCTGATTGGCCGAGCGGTGGCTATGACGTCAAGGAGGCGGGGCGGCGAAAGACCTGACGGCCCGGAAGGCTTTCATGGGAAAGTTGGCAACCTTCAAGTCCCTCAAGAACGAACGCACGACAAACGATACGGGGCGGAAGGGGCGGGGCGAGGGACGGAAGTTCGTCATCTTTTCGGGGCGTGGTATCCTCAGTGAAAGACCCGAGGCCTCCTCATCCCCGCCTCGATTAGAAGCCGGCCGGCGAGTGAGAAGGAAGGTCGGAAATATTCAGAGGTGAGTCCCGGGTAGCGCTGAGGCGTGCCCGGCGGCCTCGGGGGGAGTTCTTCCGCCGTTCCCCGGTTGCCTGTTGGAAAGGGGACTACCTCTCCCATCATTCCCAGCCTTTCCGGCTGCGGGGGATACGGTGACCATCATCCCCGGCCTCATGTCCAAGCCTTAGGCTCACCTTCCCCCCTCGCGCTTATAATATATTCTGTTAATTTCACTTTTTATGATTTAGAAATTATAATATGGATAGTGTTGTTTAATAATTGTGTATTATATTATATATAAGATATATTTATGATATCTGATATGATATATATATGATATCATATGATATATATATCATATACATATAATATATATATATATAATATAATTATATTATAATTATATTATAATATATATTATAATAATTGTGTATTATTAATGTATGTTCATCTATTTATCCACCTATCTGCGTTCGTCTATTATTAGATCTACTTTTTAAACAACCCAAGGTTACTTTAAATGAGATGGGCGGTGTAATTTCCTAAAGAAAATTGTAATTTTAGTTCTCTTGTTATCAATTTTGTTTTTTGTAACCTGCCCAGGGGTTGCTTCACCTGTAAGAAGTATTGCAAATAAATTTAATACAGATCTAACTAAATACAATATAAAAATACATTATATATACTTTAATAAATCAATACGTGATATATAAAATTTAATATCAAGTTTAAATTTGAAGAAATCTACATTTTTGTAGATTTGTCTGTCATAGATCAACACATTACATATATAATTTAAATGTCATAGATCAATACATTATATATCTTTCTATATATATGATCTCTATATATGTATAATTTTAAATTTCATCGATCAATACATCTATAATTTAAATTTCATAGATCGATTCATTATATAAATTTAATAGATGAATACACTATATAACTGAATAATAAATCAGTCTACACACACATATATGTATACTATATAAAATTTAAGCTTAATAGCTCAATACATGATATAATTTAAATTTAATTGATCAATACATTATATGTATAAAAGTTTATACATATAATGTATATTATATTATATACACTACAAGATTATTGCATTATTACATTATACATTATATATATATATGTATAAATTTAAATTACATTGTAAATTAAATGTAATCAATCGATACAGCTTATATATATATATATATATATATGTAGGTCTTTGGTTATTCGGGTCTTCTCCCATGTAAAATTGGAAGTGTCTTGGCGACGTTTCGACGAAGTCTCATTCGTCATCTTCAGGCTGGTGTTCTCGGCTTCGTGCTTCGTCGTGCTTCGAAGCACGAAGCCGAGAACACCAGCCTGAAGATGACGAATGAGACTTCGTCGAAACGTTGCCAAGACACTTCCAATTTGATATGATCGCGCAGTCAGTCGGATCTTATATTAATTAAATAACCCGCGAAAACCTGAGAAAACATATATATATAAAAGCTGTATCGATTGATTACATTTAATTATTTAATTTAAATTAATTTAATTTAAATAATTATTTAATTAATATATATATATGCCACCTCTCACTGATAAGGCCACTCTGGGCAGCTTGCAAACACTAAAAAAGTGAAATGCAGAAATTTCTAAAATTACAATTGGAAGCATTAATTGCATGCAAAATATGGCAAGGCTCCACTCCCTTTGCAAATCGCTTTCTGGATATTGACAGCTGTCAATCTACTGGAAAGCAATGCTTCCACCCTTCTTTTTCCCAAAAATTGTGAAGAGCTTAGTTGTGACTTCTCAAAACAAAGCTTCTAGGCGCCAGAACTTCCCATCCCAGCATCAGGTGTCCTCCTTGTCATCAGTTTTGGCCTAGTGAAGCCTCGTTGGATTTTGTGGTCTGAAAGGCCCCTTCATATACGGGTAGTCCTTGACTTATGACAGTTCATTTAGTGACTGTTTGGAGTTACAACAGCCCTGAATAAGGGGATTGATTTTCACCAGACCTTTGTGGCATCCCCCAAGGTCACACAATCAAAATTTGGACACTTTGACATCTGACTCGTATTTATGACGGTCGTAGTGTCCCAGCGTTCACCTGATCCCTCTTTGTGAATGGGGAAGCCAGATTCACATAACAACTGGGTTGCTCACTTAACGACAGCAGTAATTTGCCTTAACTGCGACTGGAAAGGTTCTACAATAGGGCAAAGCTCACTTCACAAGTGTCTCACTTAGTGACATACATTTTGGGCTCAATTTTAGCCGTAACTTGAGGAATCCTGGTGGTAATTGAACAACAGCAGCAATTCCCTGAACAACAATGGCCAGAAAGGTCATAAAACAGGACGAAACCCACTTGACAACTACCTCGCTTAGCGCTGGAAATTTGGACTTCGAATGTGGTCATAAGTCGAGGATTTTCTAAAATCAGCGCCCAAATAGGCATGTAATTACTTCAGAATAACAGGGTTAGAAGGGATCTTGGAGGTCTTCTAGTCCAACCCGTTTCTCAAGCAGGAGACCCTTACAGGATTGCAGAATAACAGAGGTGGAAGGCACCTTGGAGGTCATTTAGTCCAACCCCCTGCTAGAGCAGGAGATCCGTACAGAATCATAGAATCACAGAGATGGAAAGGACCTTGGAGGTCATCAGCCCCCCTGTTCCATCTCTACCATTTCTGCCGAATGGCTGCCCAATCTCTTCTTAAAAGCCTCAGATGTTGGAAAACTTCTCTCTTATTTCTAGCTTAGTTCGATTAAAGTCCTTTAAAAAAAAAAAAAAAAATTCCTTGTCTTTCTCCTTTCCAAGGAATTGCTGGCTGGGATTTTGGGTGGAAAAAAAATTGGAATAAGGTCAAAGATATTGGCAAGGTGATTCTTTTTTTTTTTTTTTTTAAGTTTGCAAAATTACTTTGCAAAGAGGTGAAATCACATGAGCCACAAGCCATAAAGAGAGGGATTTCCGGAACATTTTTACACAATGATGCAACGGCCCTTTGCTCACAACCGGCTGGGAGAGAAAAGAGTCTGATGAAATTGAGGGCAGAAATGTTGCCAGGAAATGAAGTCAGAAATTTGAGACAAGGAAATACCTTATTATCCAGATCAGCGGTGTGGAGAGAAATAGATTTTTATTCCTTTTTTTGGGGTGGGCGCAGAGAAGGGGGTTGACAGACGGAGTTTATGCATTGACTTCATTGCATTTGCTGCTTTTGGTCAACTCACAGTTTTTAACCATGCTTGAGTGGGGGTTAGACTAGGTCAGGGGTCTCCAACCTTGGCAACTTCAACTCCCAGAATTCCTCAGCCAGCTTTGCTTGAAGCCCACAAGTCTTAAAAGTTGCCAAAGTTGGAGAGTCCTGGACTAGATGACCTCCAAGGTCCCTTCCAATTCTGTTATATTTATTAAATTTATATGCTGCCTGTATGTATGTGTGTGTGTGTGTGTATAGATATATAATGATTCACTCTAACAACCATGGTGAGAAACATCGTTAAATAGGGCAAAACTCATTTAACCAACATCTGCCTTAAAAACATAAACATTGAGCCCCATTGCGGTAATAAGTCGAGGACTACCCACATACGTATCCGTGAGGACCTTGTGACACTCGTAATCACGAGGACCGTCGGCAATGTAACTTCGAACGGTCACTAAACGAACTGTCGTAAGTTGAGGACCCCCTATATTTTTCAAAGTCTGCTCCCGCCCCCCGGCTCCCTCCAACGTGTAACCTTTCATCCGTTTCTGTTTCCTTACAGTGACCATGGCATCCCCCACAGAAAAAGTCTTTCCGGCTTATGAAGAAACAGCTGGTTCGAAACTGCTCCGAAAATCGAAGGAAATGCCCTTCGTCCCCATCGGTAGGTGCTTCTCTTGGGCTTTGCCGTCCGACGGCCGGTTGCTCTGAGCCCGTCCCGTTTCACAATGGCGTCTTCGGTGAATTCCGGCAATTGCTTGAGATCTGAGCAACGGGTTCGAATTCACCCAATGGGGTTGAAATCAGAATTTCTCCACCCGGACTCCCAACACGCAGAATTCCCCACATCTTCCAACTGCCCATCTTGAGAATCCCTTCTCTATACAGATAGTCCTCGACTTCACGACTGCAACCGGGACCGGACTCCCCCCCCCTCCTGTAGTCGTTAAGTGAGTCACGTTTGGGTTTTGCGACTTTTTTTCTGGGAGTCCTTAGCGGATTGCACAGTCGTTAAATGAATCCAGTTGCCAAGCCTGAAAATTTTGATCATGTGTCGCCAAGAAGGCGATAATGGTCATAAATGCGAGGACTGGTCCTAAGTCTCTTGTTTCCGGGCTTTTTCAAGTTGAGGACTTATCTGTATTTCAAAGGGCATTTATAGGATTGAGGAGGCAATGTGATTGTGGGTTCACATGCTCGGTTGGAAAGTGAGGAGACTCGCAAAATCTGTTTTCTGTAAGCCTAGGCCACAGGTCTCGAACTCGCTGTGTCACGTTGATGTCATGTGACCTTTTGGGGGGGCCTTTATGGAGCTGGGGTGGGTGTGGCCTGCACTTGACGCATCCAGCCTGCAGGCTGCCAGTTTGACCCCCCCTGGCCTAAGCTGTCTGTGGGTCATTCCTCCTCCTCTTCTAACACATCACTCAGTTGTAGCACTGATAATGTTACCTAGTTGGGTTATGAAACGTCTGCGAGAAAACTATCAAGCTCAGAGCACCAGGGACCCCACAATCCTTCCTTCCTCTCTCTTTTACTCTCCTCTCTTCCCCTTCCCCTTCCCCTCCCTTCCCTTCATCCCTCACCTCCCTTCCTTTGTTCTTTCCTTATTCCTTCCATTTTCTCTTTCTCCTCCTCCATTTCCTTTTTTCCTTCGCCCTTCCCTTCCTCCTCCCCCCCCATCCTTCTAGGGATGGCATTGCAGGGCGGGACACTAGGGACCCCAGACCCACTGAAGCCTTGATAGTTCTTCCTCTACCTTTCTCAGGTCTTCCTTCCTTCCTTCCTTCCTTCCTTCCTTCCTTCCTTCCTTCCTTCCTTCCTTCCTTCCTTCCTTCCCCTCTCATCTAATTCCTGGGACCCCTGAACCCTTGACAGCTCTTCCTCTGCCTTTCTCAGTTCTACTCTTCCACTCTCACTCTCTCCACAAAAGCCCACTCCCTTGTAGCACTGAAGATGTTACCTAGCTGGGTCATGAGACGCCTGCAAGAAAACCACTCAGCTCAGAGAGCACCCAGGACTCCTCCCCACCCCAGATCCGCTGAACCGTTCTTCCTCTGCCTTTCCCAGGTCTGGCGGGCTGTTTCACCCTGGCCGCCTACGGCATCTACCGGGTGAAGTCCCGAGGAGAGACCAAAATGTCCATCCACCTGATCCACACACGGATGGCCGCCCAGGGCTTTGTGGTGGGCAGCATCGTTTGTGGTAAGTTGGCGTGCTGCGGTTGTCATGCCCCACATAGAGGCGGAACCACAAACAACACCGCTAGTCTTTTCAATTGACAAACATTTGTTTAATGTTGATTGTTGAAAGTTACGAGGGGACTGGGAAAAAAGGGACTTTCGAACTGTGTTTCACACTTACAACCGTCACAGCATTTCCAAAATTGAAATGCTTGGCAACAGATTCGTCTTTGCGACGGTCGCAGTGCCTGGCGGGATTATTATTATTATTATTATTATTATTATTATTATTATTATTATTTTATTATTATTTTATTATTATTATTATTATTATTATTGAATTTCTATACCGCCCTTCTCCCTGAGGACTCAGGGCGGTGTACAGCCAGAATTAAAAAACATGCAGTACAAATATTAAAAAACACTTAAAAGATATATAAATTTGGCCCAATTAAAACTCACTACCAAGATATGTCACATCATCCCTTTTTGTGACCTCAAAACGTCAAAGAGAAAAGCCAGATTCGCTTAATATCCAGTTATCATGGTCCTAAATACTGATCTTGTGACCACGGGGAGGCTACGGTGGTCATAATGGCGAGGATCGGTCATAGGTCATTTCAGTGTCCTTGTAACTTCGAAGGCCCCCCCCCCCCCCCCCCCCCCTCAAGTGAACAGTTTATTTGGTTAACGATCCGGTCCGCTTCCAAAAAAAACCCCATCAGGCTCAATTTTGGTTGTAAGTCAAGTCTGAACGATCACTTAACGAATGGTCGTAGAACCACCTCTGGAGGACCCAAACAAATCCGTCCAAAGAGAATATCAGAGTGAGAAGGTACCTTGGAGATCACCTAGTCCAACCTCCTATTCAAGCAGGAGACCCTTACAGAATGACATAGTTGGAAGGGACCTTGGAGGTCTTCTAGTCTAACCCCCTGTTCAGGCCGGACCATTCCAGACACATTGTCTCTCCAATCTCTTCTTTAAAAACCTCCAGGGATGGTGCCCACAACTTCTGGTGGCAAGGAGTTCCACAGGTTAATAGTTCTCACTGTCAGGACATTTCTCCTTAATTCCAAGTTGGTGGTAGAATAGCTTGACTCCCTCTTCTTTGGGGCTCCCCGCTAACATTGGAAGACTGCTCTCATGTCTCCCCTAGTCCTTCTTTTCATTAAACCAGACATACCCAGTTCCTGCAACCGTTCTTCATATGTTTTCTCCTGCCCCCTAATCATCTTCGTTGCTCTTCTCTCCGCTGTTTCTAGACTACAGCCTCAACATCTGTTGTATTTTTATTATAATACCTTTGATATAATTAATGTAAAGTACTGTAATATACCGTTTTATAATACAATTATTTTACAATATTTTATAATATGTTTTATAATGTAATATTTTATAATATAACTATATTTTACAATGCACTATAATGTAATATTTTAAAATATTACATATTTTATAATTTTATAATTTCAAGGTTGACTCAGCCTTCCATTCTTCCGAGGTAGGTAAATTGAGGACCCGGATTGTGGGGGCAATAAGCTGACTTTGTAAAAACACCACTTATGGGGGGCCAAAAGCCCTACTAAGCAGGTATATACAAAAGTATGATGGCTATTGCTTAAAAGCATTGTAAGCCGCCCTGAGTCTCCAGAGAAGGGTGGCATATAAATCGAACCAATAAATAAATAATACAATGTAATATTTTACAATATAATATTTAGCAATATTTTATAGTGTAATACTTTATAATATAATATATATTTTACATAACATATATTATTTTATAATAAAACTGGATGCAGTATTCCACATAGGGTCTTACTAAGGCTTTATCAGTTGGTACTAACACTTCTCGTGTTCTTGATTCTATCTGTCTGTTAATTCAGCCTAGGATCGTATTGGCCTTTGTGGCTGCTGCCGCACACGGCTGGCTCATCTTTAAGCGATCGTCCACTAGGACTCCAAGATCCCTCTCGTGGTTATTACATCAACACATTTTTTCACCCACCAAAGTTGCTTATTGTGTTTTTTTTTTCTTTCTTTCTTTTTTGTCTTCCAGGCGTGGTCTATTCCATGATCCGGGATTACGTCTGGAAGCCTCAGTCAAAGTCTTCGGAAACCCGTTGAAGCTCTCCAGTTCCTCGTGCCGTAGGGATAGTTTTCCACACTGCGGTGAAGGGAAAAAAGAACAACGAATTTAATTCTAATTTTATACCTCTTCCACACACATCCTTCCCTGCCGCCAAGATTTCCTTTGGGTGTCAAAAAAATCCCTTATTTTTTATTTTATTTTATTTTCGTTTGCACAAAACCACGGATTGAGTTTTGTTCCTTCGCTGCCATTTCGACCATCCGCGTCGGCACTATGTGAGACCCAGGCAATTCCAGTTTTTTCTCTTTTGCAGACAACCTTTTGGGGAAAAAAATTTTTAAATTGTGACACTCTCCATTGTGTGTATCTTCCCCAAAAAATCGAGATATTTTTCCCTGCTTCCTTCAGAAATGAATTTAGACCACAAATCATCAAACTGCCGACAAAAAATTTGCTTTTTAAATCCATTTCTGGGGAAGGTTGTGATGAGTTGTGGTGTTATTGTCGCTTGAGATCCTGTCGCCCTCCTGTTAAATGTGCTTTTTTTGGGACACTGGTGCCCATGCACACCAGAAAAAGCACAACATTGTGACTGAGAGAGAAATGAGGGAGCATTCTAACACTTCAGCTGTCTATCAAGTTATTCACAATTGTATTTATTACACTTTATTAAAACCGTAGATGTTTAAATTATTTAGCAAAAATATATGTGTATGACCTTAATATTTTCATTCGTCCAGTCTGCGTGTGTGTGTGTGTGTGTGTGTGTGTAAAAATAGGCTATTTTTTTTTCTTAGATAAGTTTTTTAAAAAAGCAAAATGGAAGCAGAGACGTTGCCGTTTTTATGTGGGTCCAGCAGGCAGAGAAACTTCCCTGCAATGCACAAAAAAAAAGCGTTACACAAAGTCACAACTGCAGTCGTATTTCGGCTGTAACTTTGAGGACCTCCATGTGCATATATTGCTTTTTTTAAAAAAAGTATTTTTTGGTATAGACGATGTTTTACACGGAAGAATTGTTGAATTGCATTACACTTCAGTTGTGTTATGCTTCAGTTGTGCGTTCCGTGTTTTTGTGCAGGCTAAAACATCTGCCTCTTTCTCCCAATTCTGCTTGGGAAGGGATTGTGACTTACACAAAGTGTGGCTGGGCACAATGGGCTACACAAATGCTATCACACAGAGAGGCCTCGAGTTACGACTGTCATCGAGTCTGGCAATTCCAGTTGTATCTCGAGCAGGCCAGGCACGACGGACTAGAAAATCTTCTCCTCTTTTAAATTTAAATTTTAAATACAAATTTTAATCTGTTTAATTATGGGATATTTTAAAATTCAGCCAAATTATTTAATTCGTTTTAATCTATTTTAAATTTTGTATCTCTGTGTTTTATCTTCTGGCTGTTCACCGCCCTGAGTCCTTCGGGAGAAGGGCGGTATAGAAATTTAATAAAATAAATAAATAAATAAATAAATAAATAGAAAACCCCCCTAAAATACATCTAGTCCTCACTTAACAACCATCGCTGAGTTTGGTGATTCCCGTTGTGATTCATGACTTGTTATTCAAAGAATCCTTAAAAAATCTGACCCGATTTCATCGAATATTTTTTTTTGTGGTGGTCATTAAGTGAACACCCTGTCATTAAGCAAAGCCACATTTTTGGGGGCGGAACTGTGGGTTCACTTCATTTTTTTTTTTTTTTTTTCAATTTTTGAAATTGGAACTGCTGCTTTTCTGAGGAAAAAATGTATATCGCAAACCACTTGAATGCAGTGAGGACGGACGACGGAATTGCGGGTTGGTTTGGGCTGGGAACCGTCGTAAGCCGAGGGCTTCCTGGCTGGGGTTTGGATGGCTCCTTTAGTAAATATTCTAACCCTGGATGTACGCCCTACTATCTCACAATCTTCATCCCAGAAGCCGATTTTGTAAAAAAAATACCTTGTCCGTTCTCCGTTTCGTGCCTGTTGCTTGTGGCGTCCTGAGTTCGAATCCTGATGCCAAACCCCCTTGTGAGTTCAACGCTAATCCTGATTTTATATTAAACGGTGTACGTAACAATGACGGGACTCGCCTGGATTGTGTGGTTTGTGGGTTTTGTGCCATCTTTGGATGCAAATTTCTGCTTTTTTAACAGAAGTCCTAAACTTAACGGCCACAATGGACCTACAAGAAAAGCAAGACAAGTGAGTTTGGCCCCTTTTTTCGAGATTTCCTGCCACCGTCGTATAGTGAATCGCTGCAGTGGTAGAAAGGAGTAATGGGGTGGTTAAGCGAATCCGGCTGCGTCGTAAGGTCGCAAAAGGGGATCGCATGACTGTCGTAAATGCGAGTCAGCTGCCAAGCCTCTGCATTTCGTTCACATAACCCTGGGGAATGCTGCAACTGCCGTAAGTTTGAGAAACGGTCAAAAGCCCCGTTTTTTTCAATGCCGTAACTTCGAACGGTCACTAAGTGAGGACTGCTTGCACCATCCTAGACAAATGGGTTTTCTCAGGAAAAAAAAATTATTCAAGGAGAGCCCACGAATGTGGAATTCTAAGGAAGGGATCAAATATTTTGTTTTCATCCAAACTTCTGACAAACTCAATATTTATTGCCTCACGACAATTAAATGTTATTATTTGACAATTTGTGGACTTCAACTCTCAGAATTCCTCATTCTGCCGTGTTTCCTGGGGAATTTCGGGAGTTGTTGAAGTCCGGCACTCTTAAAAGTGGCAAGGTTTGGAGACTTCGGATTTTAGAAGACCTGTGGGTTCTGAACAGACATTTCAGGACCACACTAGGTAATATCATCAGTGCTAGAAGGGATTGGGATATATGGAGAAGAGGAGGAGGAAGCTGGGTGGCTTCCTTACAGACATTTCAATGACCCAACTAGATAACATCATCAGTGCTAGTGAGGAGTGTGGTGTAAGGAAAGGAAGAGGCAGAGCTCAGCAAGCTGAGAGCACCAAGGAACCAACCATCCTCTGCATAATCAGACTAAAGTCACAGAGCTCATGCTTTCCCACATAACGTCCCTTGAGTCCATCACCCCAAACTGTTCCATAAATGTATCATCAAGTTGAGGTCAACTCTTGGTGACCACACAGACAGGTCTTTTTCTCCAGGAACTTCAGGCCCAATGAGGTCCTTCAAGTCTTCTACCGACGGAGACCTTGTAGCCACTATCCTTGAGTTCGTCGCTTTGGCTATTGATGGGCCTCTTCTTCTCTTTCCTTCTACGGTCCCACCATCCCGAACCTTCTCCAGATGGTTGACTCTTCACATCATGTGTCTGAAGAAGGATAAGTTTGAGCCTGTTCCTTCATGACTCAATGGTGGACCTCTTTGGTGGTCCATTGGTTCAGTTTCTTAGTGGTCCAGGATACCTTTAGGTGTCTTCTACAACGGGACAACAGACTTGGAAGAGACCTTCGAGGTCTTCTAGTCTGACCCCCTGCTTGAGCAGGAGACCCTACAACATTCCGAAATAAATGGCTGTCACCAAAGGAACTGTTGTAAGTCAAGGACTGTATTTTCCGATGGTTTTATCCACAATGTGGCCAGCAGATGGCAGTGTTTGACCGGTTTAATCCATTTTGCTGGATCAGGTTCTTGTGCCATAAATCCTTAGGAGAGATCGATGGCTTTCTCTTCTCTAGAAACATACATTTAAATGCCAAAATATATTTAACATATAAACATTAAAATAGATTTCAAGGCATAACATGAAATAGGAGGCACGCTTCCTTCATTGGCAAGGACATCCATTTTCTAAAAGTCTTTTTTCAGTGAACAAAAAGGAACTTTGGATCAAACTTTTAAAATAGGGATTTATTTTTTTTGGTGTTTTTTTCCAAGCATCTTGGGTGATCTTAACCCAAGATGGTTAGTTTGTGCCACAATGCTTGTATTCTAAATCAGGGCTTAATCTTGGCACTTTAAGACCTATGGACTTCAACTTCCAGAGTTTTAAGGAAGTGTCCAGATTTTTCACCAAGGTCAACTTTTCACCAAACCTTTCCTGACCTACCAAATGCTTGTTGCCTTCAAACAGGGTTTTCCAAGCTTGGAAACTTGTGGACTTCATCACCCAGAATTCCCTACCTGGCTCCCAGAATCCCCCATGCTTGCTGGAGAATTATGGGAGATAAAGTGCAGTTCAGCTGGTCTTCTAAGGCGAGGCTTCTCCAAACTTGGCAAGGTTAAAACTTGTGGACTTCAACTCCCAGAATTCCCAGCTGGTCCCAGAATTCCACCAGTTGAAGCATACCGTCTGAGGAATTCTGGGAGTTGAAGTCCACTCCTCTTAAAAACATGCTGGCTAGGGGATTCTGGGAGTTGAAGTCCACCCCTCTTAAAGCTTTCTGGCTGGGGATTCTGGGAGTTGAAGTCCACCCTTCTTAAAGCTTTCTGGTTGAGGAATTCTGGGAGATGAAGTCCACCAGTTGTTGGACTTCAGCTTATCTTCTAAGTGAAGGGAAACAATAATAAGGATATAATAAATAATACTAGAATATGATATACTAGTATACTAGAATTAGTAGAAACTTATTATTCTGTAACCATTGGGTTCCTGAAATACATATATAGCCTTTGTATTTGTATAACTCACATATATTATACCTTTATATCTGTAACACAAATATGCCTTTGTATTTGTATCACATATATTATGCCTTTATATTTGTATCTCCTGTAACAAACATATTCTGTTATTAGGCCTCTGTAACATATCTGGTATTTGTCAAACATACGTTTTTGCCATTTGATCTGAACCCATATTAATCTTCTTCCTGTTTTTCTCGTGCCGTCTAAGAGCATGGTACTATCTCAGTTGGAACTGCAGACATCATCCCAGGGATAATTTACACTTCAGCCCTAATTTACACCTTTGATCTGTATAAGCTCCTCGTTCCTTGCAGAACCAGGAGGCCAAATGAGCAATTGGGGGAACAAAGGAATGCTCAAGGAAGAGATAACACTAATTGGGAGGCTTCTATTCCTCTGCAGGGCAACAAGGAATACACAAACCTAAACTAGGAGGCCAGAATTGGGTACTAAGCTGATGCTTCTGAGGGTATAAAAAGGACGCCATACCTTCTCCAAGGTGTGGCTATCTCCTCACATGCATTGTATCTGTATGTTCTGGATATAGTCCCACCCGGTATTTTGTTTTTGGCCATAAATAAAATCTGCTTCTTTTTGCAAGCCTCGTCTTGAGTCTCTCTCTTTGGCATTCTGGTGACTCAAGTATATTTTGGGACCTTACATAAGGATGGTATCTCCAACTTGGCAAGTTGAAAAGTTATGGACTTCAACTCCCAGAATTCCCTAGCTGGCTCCCAAAATCCCCCATGCTGACTGCGGAATTCTGGGAGTTGAAGTCAACAAGTCTTAAAGTTGCTAGATTTGGAGATCGCTGGCTTAGAAGTCCAGCATTGTGGCACAAACTAACAATCTTGGGTTAAGATCATCAAAGGTGCTTGGGAAAAAAAATCATAGCTAGTTAGTTGGAGGTCCACTGTGTTGTGGGAATCGAGCCCCTGAACAATTGGAGGCTGGTTCAGATGTTTGCAGCTGAAAAAGTTAGCAAGGATTGCTGGCACTCAAAAGGAAATGGAAGAAATTCTGCTGTCACCCTCACAAAATGGAGGCTGCCACTTTGATCTGGTGCACAAATTATGAATGATAATTTGGTAGGTGAGAATCCTTGTAGTTCAGGCTTGAACTGTCCTTAGACTTTCATGCCTAAGGCAGGACTAGAACTCCCAATCTCCTGATGATGGGACCAAAGTCACCCAGCTGGCTTTTATCCCTAAGGCGGGACTAGAACTTACCATCCTCCTCTTATGAACCAGATGTTTTAACTATTAGACCAAACTGACTCCCTATTACAGTGAAATAGCTGATATTTTGATATTGCAACCCAACATCCTACAATTAAAGCAATCAAAACCTTCTAAAATAAGCCATTTGAAAAGTTTAATTGTGATGAATTAAATTATTAATTTAATATTATTAATTGAATTCAGTAACGGCCCCTTTAACGGCTTCGTCAAGGGAAGTTGTACAATTCCATGCAGGAAAAAAAAAAGTCATTTTTTAAGTGTGAAGGTCATGGAATTTTTCGAGTCCTTTTTATAGCTCCTCATTCATCAAGGAATATTTTTACTTTTATCTCCTGGAGGAAAGGACAAAAAAAAAAAAAAAGGAAATTTACTCCCATCGCTATCAGGAAGGTATTTTCCTGGAACACAACATTTTGAGATTCATCAAGAGCTGTCAAGTCTCCTTCATCATCCCTCACTGAAAAGCAAAAAAAAAATTGTGTGACACACCCTGGATGGGTTCACACTCGTTCTGTCCTTGACTTCGACTCTTTCTCAGAGTTCACGGCCTCACAAGCAAACAATTGCAGCGGGCCAAAAATATTTGCGCCCGTGGCAAAAATACAGAAGGTTAATCAAACTCTTAATTCTGTTTTCTTCTGGCAGGGGTGGCCTGCAAACAAGAGACTCCACAATCTCTAGAGCCGTGATGGTGAACCTATGACACGCGTGCCACGGGTGTCACGTGGAACCATATCTGTGGGCACACGAGCATTGCCCTAGCTCAGCTCCAGCGCGCATGCGTGTGCCAAACAGCTGATTTTGGGACTTCCGGTCCTACCAGAAGTCAGAAAATGGGCTGTTTTCGGCCTCCGGAGGGCCTCTGGGGGGATGAGGAAAGTCATTTTCGCCCTCCCCAGGCTCCTAGAAAGCCTCTGGAGCCTGGGGAAGGAGAAAAACGGGCCTTCCGGTCCCACTGTGCCATCACATGCCAAAGCGGGGGAAGCACGGGGGAGGGGGTGTCGCATGCACATGCGCAGGGGGGGCGGGGTGTATTAAATTATGGGTGTGGGCATGCACATGCGCGACTCCTCCACATGGCCCTCGTTTTTGGCACGGGACGGCAAAAAGCTTAGCCATCACTGCTCAAGAGACTCCACAATCCTCTTTCTTGCTTCCTCCTCCTCCTCCTCTCTGCCACCTCCCTTCCTTCTAGCACTGAAGATGTTACCTATTTGGGTCATGAAATGTCTGCAAAGAAACTATCCTGGTCAGAGAGCTCCAAGGACCCCATAGTCCTCCTCCTTTCTCCTCCTCCTCCTCTTTCTCGTCCCACTCCCTCTCCCCCTCCTCCTCTTTCTCCTCCCGCTCCCCCTCCTCCTCCTCCTGCTGTCTACAAATCCCACTCCCTCGTATCTCTGAACATGTTACCTAGCTGGGTCACGAGACATCTGCAAAAAAACCACCAAGCTCGGAGACCCCACAGTCCAACCCCAAATATTCTATTTTTTTGATACCCTTCTGGTGTCCGCCACTGCAAAATTAGAAACACAGCGCCAAAGCCAGGATGATCTTGGCCTGTTTCTGTGGACGCCACACGTCTTATAAAACTTCAACTCGTGTGGTTTTTATTCGCCTCCTCCTTTCTCTGAGTGTGTGAAATGACACAACCTGTGAACACCAAGGAGCCCACCATTCAACCCCGAGCCACAAATATTCTCTTCTATCTTTAACCCTCATTCCACTGGTTACGACCAGGGGAAGGTTCTACTTACCTTTACTACTGGTTCGTGGCGGGGCCGCCCGCGCGCTCTTCTGCACATGTGCAGAAGCGTTTTGGTGATGTCAGTATCAGTGGGTGGAGCCTCCCGCCGCTTTTACTACCGGTTCTATAGAACCATTGTGAACCGGGAGCATCCCACCACTGTTTACGACCCAAGCCCACCTAGATGCCTTGAGATCTGCCCACACCAGTTGTGTGGTTGTGGCGACTCAACACTTTTAAACTGGTATATTTGATAAAAAGAAAAATCCTTTGCTTCAGATGGCACAATCTCAGGACTAGAGGGAATGAGATATCATCATGTACACTCGCACGAGGTCATGTTCTTCTAAAAACGGGACACACCCAGGACATCTGAAGGCTGAATTTTCCAACACACACACACACAATACACCAAAGCTAGATTCCAAAATACACTGCAACGCGGAGTAACCCGTGTGAAGAATTCCAGACTTACAATGACTGTTTTGTTCTCGAGATGTCAGCTCGCCAGCTGGTCAAAGGAGGTTGTTATTGAAACACAATATCTGTGGAGCCCACTCCCGGTGCTTGAGAGGGTTGAAGAGTGTGATTGTGTTGGATGGACTCCAGCTGAAGTCAACTTGCAATGTTCCCCCATGTCTTCCTTGAATTATCAGTTTCTAATGACCAGGAGAAAGTGAGTTCTACTTCTGCCTTAGGCATGAAAACCGGTAGGGTGACTTTCAGACAATCACCAGGAGACAGTGAGTTCTAGTTTTGCCTTAGGGACGAAAGTTGGCTGGATGATTATCAACCAATCACCAGGAGACGATGAGTTCTAGTCCCACTTTTGTCCTGAAGACTGGTTGGGTTACTTTGGGCAAATCACCAGGAGACAATGAGTTCTAGTTCTGCCTTATGGATGAAAGCTGGCTGGGTGATTTTGGGCCAATCACCAGGAGGCCTCGAGTTCTAGTTCCACCTTAATCCTGAACACTGTCTGGGTGAGTGTAGACCAATCACCAGGCGACGGAGAGTTCTTGTCTTCTATTAAGCACAAAACTGCTGGTTGACTTTGGGCCTGTCCCTCCTTCTCAGACCTATGTCTATATTGTCTTTAAACAAGATTTTCCCCTGTCATTGTCGTCTGGCCTTCAGAGTTTGAGCTGACAATTTGACGGTCACTAAACGAATTGTTGTAAGTCGAGGACTACCTGCAGCAAGAGTACATTAGCAAACGGGAAATTATTATCACCGTAAAATTTGGGAGCACAAGGAGACTTTGTCTATTCCTAATGAATGAATGATGGCATATTATATTTATTCCTAATTAATGACCGATTATGTACTATCTTTCTTCCGAATGAATGGCGACGTACCGGGAGCTGTTGCAGTCACCAAAAATACACAACCTGATAAAAATTGTGTTATCTTATCTTGAAAAAAAAAACTTTCTGAGATTTAAATAGCTGGCAGAGAGGTCCTTTGAGGAAATTGCAAATGACCTCATAAATTTTTTCTTTCACTTAGTTAAATGTGACATCCAGGAAATCTATTTCCTGACAAGATGCAACCACCCTTAACATCTCCGTTGTAAATTTTGGTGTGTGGGCACAATGGGTGCCCACACACACATGACTGAGACTTAATCTTCAATGTCATTTTCTTTTTCTGCAAGCAATAATCTCCTTAAGGAGAAATCAGGGATGACCAGAAGTGAAATATAGGTAGTCCTCAACTTATGGCGGTCCGTTTAGTGACCGTTCTAAGTTACCACAGTGCTGAAAAAAAGTGACATGACCATTTTTCACAGTTAGGACCGTTGCAACATCCCCGGGGTCATATAATCAAAATCCAGACTCTTGACAACTGATTCGTTTTTATGACAGTCGCAGAGTTCCCAGGTCATCACATGATCCTCTTTTGCGATGTTCTGATGAGCAGAGTCAATGGGAAAGCCAGATCCACTTAAAAAATAATATATTTTATTATTTTATTATTTTATTCATTTCATCCCATTTTATTTGTTTCATTCTATTCTGTTTTATTTTGTTTTAATTTAATTTTACTTTAATTATTCTGTTTTATTCCATTTGATTTTACTTGTTTCATATCATTTTATTTTGTTATATTCAGTATAATTTTATTTTGTTTTAATTTTATTTTACTTTCATTATTCTGTTTTGTTCCATTTGATTTGATTTGCCACAATTGTAAAAGTTTATTTTATTTTGATTGTTTTGATTTTATTGATTTAAATTTAATTTCATTTCACTTTACTATTTTATTTTATATTTTGTTTGGTTTTATTTTGCTTAATTTTAAGCAAAAAAACCTTAAGCAGGAGAACTTATCTTTTATTATGTTTTATTTTATTTTTTATTTTATATCATATTTCATTCTATTTTCTTGCAGTTATTTCTTCCTTGATTTTATCTTGGTCGTTTTTATTTCATTTTATATTATACTTCATTTTACTTTATTTTATTGCATTTGTTTCTTATTTTATTTTATATTGGTCATTTTTATTTTATTTTATTTTGACCTATTTTCCTTTGCTTCTGTTGTATTTTATTTTATATTTTTCATTTCATTTCCTGTGATTTTATGGCGGGTTATTTCTTACTTTATCTTGCTTTTTCTTTTTAATGATATTTTATTTTGTTTCATTCTGCTTATCTTTTCTTTATTTTATTTTGTGTTCATTTTTTTTAAAGGAAAACCTTAAGCAGAAGGAAAAATGCAAAATTATAAGGTGGCAGGGTGGGGGTGAGGGCCCCAGGAATTTTCTCTCCCTGCTTCGATTTGACAGGAGTCAATTATTTTTTAAGACTTCCAAAACAGGAAAAGGCTTTTATCAGCAGCTCAGGAAATTCCTATTATTCTTATTATTATCGGTGGTGGAAATGACCTGCCTGGGTTAATGGATGGCTTTGGCCCTCAGCCTTGAGAAAAGATGCTGGAAAAGAGGGGGGAAGAGAAAATATTTTCAATTATCTGGCACATCCCTTCCGAGAATCTTATTCTATGATTAAGCAAATTAAGGAGCCTCGTTTTTGTGAGATCTTTCCAGCTGAAAGTGGAAAATTCATGCCTCTCTGATTTGTTTTTTTTCCAAGCAAGCATTTTATTTTATTATATCTTATGTTTTATTTCATTTTATTTTACTTATTTCATTATATTTTGGGTTTTTTTATTTCATTATTTCATTTCATTCCATTCCACTTTATTTTATCCTTTTATTTTTTATTGTATTGTATATTATTTTTCATGTTATTTTATTTTATTATTTTATTTTATGTCATTTCATTTCATTCCACTTTATTTTATTTTATTATTTTATTTCATTCCATTTAGTTTTTCTTTTCTTCTCTTTCATTTCATTTTTTATTTTATTTTACTTTATAGAATAGAATGAAAGAGTTGGAAGGGACCTTGGAGGTCTTCTAGTCCAACCCCCTGCCAGGCAGGAAACCCTCCACCACTTCAGACAAATGGTTATCCAACCTCTTCTTAAAAACTTCCATTGTTGGAGCACCCACAACTTCTAGTGGCAAGTTGTTCCACTGATTAATTGTTCTGTCAGGAAATTTCTCCTTAGTCCTAAATTGCTTCTCTCCTTGATTAGTTTCCATCCTTTGCTTCTTCTCCTGCCCTCAGGTGCATTTATTATTTCATTTATTTCATTTTACTTTATTTGATTTGATTTTATTATTTATTTTATTTATTTCATTTTAGTTTATTTTTTTATTATATTTCATTCCCAATTTCATTTTAAATTGTATTTTATCCAATTCTATTTTAAATTGCTTTTATCAGACTATATTTCATTTCATTCCGTTTTATTTATATTTATTTTACTTATTTTAATATTAATATTTTTAATTTAATTTTTAATTGATATTTCATTTTACTTCATTCATTTTATTTTATTATTTCCTTTCCTTTCCTTTCCTTTTGTTTTGATTTGATTCCATTCATTTTATTTTATTATTTTTTATTTCATTCCATTTTAGTTTACTTTTTCTTTTATTATTTTACTGTATATTACAAGGACCTTTCAAGTCATCATGGGTGACAAAATCAGCAAGCAAAGGCACCTGAATAACGGACTCCCTCAGGGCTCCGTGCTGGCCCCATCTCTATTTAATTTATATATTTCCAATATATCACCCACGCTATCAATAAAGTTCTCTTATGCCGATGATCTGACATTAGCATATAGCCACAAGGACATCGAAGCTACAGAAGCCATACTTACAGCCGATCTTACAACTTTATTTTATTATTTTATTTTATTGTATTGTATTTTATTATTTTTATATGCCACCCTTCTCTGGAGACTCAGGGCGGCTTACAATGCGTTAAGCAATAGCAGTCATACTTTTGTATATTTTATACAAAGTCAGCTTATTGCCCCCACAAACAGGGTCCTCATTTTACCCACCTTAGAAAGGATGGAAGGCTGAGTCGACCTTGAGCCTTGGCGAGATTCGAACTTACAGTAATTGCAGGCAGCTGGATGTTAAATGCTGCCTTTAGGAGGAGGCATTAGCCTCCTACGCCACTCAGGCTCCTGAGCACTTTGAGCACATACTTCCACCAATGGAGGTTAATCCCAAGCGTAAGTAAAACAGTTACATCATGTTTTCACCTTAACAACAATTTGGCAAAAAGAGAACTCAAATGTATACCTAAACAACAAACTGCTCCCATACGAGGCAACACCAGAATACCTGGGGGTCACCTTAGACAGGACTCCGTCTTTTAAAAAACATATTCAGAATATGGCTGCCAAGGTTAACAGCAGAAATAACATCCTACAAAAACTATGCGGAACAACTTGGGGAGCTTCAGCCACAATTCTCCGATGTGCAGCCCTTGTGCTTTGCTACTCTGCAGCGGAAATACTGCGCACCTGTATGGATAAACAGCTCACGTACAGGACTTATTGATGCTCAACTCAACCATACAATGAGGCTAATTACTGGGTGCATAAAATCTACACCTAGTTACCGGTTACCAGTTCTTAGTCACATACTTCCTCCGCACTTACGACGACAAGAAGTTTTTGTCAGCACTAGAGTAAATGAAAGATTTTACCGAAGACTATTCGTTTGGAAATGCAATTTATTTTATTTGAGATGACATCGAAACCTGACAGCTTTCATTTGGGAGTATAGTAAGATCCTGTTAAATTCCTCTCTAACCATTCATGGATACATTCCTGATCTTTTAAGATGCCGATTAAAGTCGAGAAACCCACCACTCTTGACAGCGCTTAAGTTGATGGCCGATCATCAGAACACCACACAAAAGTGGATGGAAGCGTGGAGTAGCTATTCTCCCCAAGATATCTCTGAGCATATTAATCCTAATAGCATACCTCCAGGATTTAACCTACCCCGACACATATGGGTGACATACAATAGAATTAGAACGACTCATGGGGTGTGCGCTGACTCCTTGTAGAAATGGGGAAAGACACCTTCAGCGCAATGCGATTGCGGGGTCCCCCGAGAGACTATCCAACATATAGTGAGGGAATGCCATAACAGAAGGTATCCAGGAGATTTTAGGGACTTCCTCTGCGTAACAACGGCAGCTACTGACTGGATCTCCAAACTCGACATTAAACTTTGAAATGTTATTTCTGTTTTGCTCCTAGGTTTTCTTATGGCTCTTTTTTAAAATTGTTTTAACCTGTAAAAATGAAGTGTTTTAATATTGTGTGTGACCAGCCATACGCTAAATAAATGAATAAATAAATAAATGTATATTACATGATCTGATCTTCCTATATCTTATTCGAAAGGCCTTCTGATTTATTTTTCTCTCTGCAAGGAAAGACTCTGGGCTTCTTGTTGCACCTATCTGGAGGTACCGTCCTGTCCCTTGGCCAACTCAAGACAACCTCAACAAGAGTTCAGCCCCACCGGATTGGATCCATCAGCATTGGTTGACTTGCCGAACTGTTGTTCCTAACTTTCTTTTTCTCCTGGGTTAAGACCTGATAATCCTTCTGGGTCACTTCCGGGTGAGAAGAACCAAGATCTGAGTCTTTTCTCAAACAGGAGACCATTGCCAGAAGAAGACGAGGACTGGAGGTCCATGGAGGTCTTCTAGTCCAACCCTCTGCTCAATAAGAGAAGTTGGGAAGGACCTTGGGAGGTCATCTAGTCCAACCCCTGCTCAATAAGAGAAGTTGGGAAGGACCTTGGAGGTCTTCTAGTTGAACCCCTTGCTCAGTAACAGAGTTGGAGGGACCTTAAAGGTGACCCGCTTTTCGCATGCAATGGCCTGGTGGGCCCGTTTTTCACCCTCCCCAGGCTCCAAAGGCTTTCTAGGAGCCTGGGGAGGGTGAAAACAGCCTCCCCAATCCCCCCCGGAGGCTGGAAACAGCCCATTTCCCGACTTCTGATGGGTCCGGAAGGCCCGAAAATCAGCTGGCCGGCACACACATGCACACTGGAGCTGAGCTAGGGCAACGCTCACGTGCCCACAGATATAGTTCTGCATGCCACCTGTGGCACGCGTGCCGTAGGTTCGCCATCACGGCCCTATACCATTGCAGACAGAGGGTTGTCCAATCTCTTCTTCTTAAAAACCTCCCGTGATGGAGCACCCACTGTTTTCTCAACGTCCTGCCAGGACAGGCCTACAATTTCAAGATGACCTGTTAAGAGGTCCACTTTGAAGGACCTTCAAAATGTTGGGGAGATGAAGAGAGAGACTGCTGGAGAAACATTGTTCTGAGGGCCGCCAACTCTGGCAAATAAATCATGGATGAGAGACCTAGAACATCGTTTCAGAAGATGGAGGAAGTGGACAACTGGACCCATGTATGATCCTGGATCAAGAACCCAATTGTGTGGTAAGAGACATCCACACAACTATTTTTGTCATTTTGTTGCATCTCTGTGGGACTGTCCAGGGCCCCCATTTCATAGAACATAGACTCAATAAGGCAAGAAGGAACCTTGGAGGACTTCTAGCCCAACCCCTGTTCAAGGCAGGAGGCCATCCTGGTCAAGTGGTTGTCCAGTCTATTGTTGAAGTGATGGAAGAACCACAACTCTGGGAGGCCAGCTATTGCATTGATTAAATAATTAGTTAATTAATTGTTAATTAATTGTTAGGGGGAGATCCAATAGGAAGGGAAGGAACATCTTCAGGTCAATAATTCCCCGGGGGAATTCTGGGAGTTGAAGTCCACAAGTCTTAAAAGTTGCCAAATTTGAAGCTTCCTGATCTAGGTGATGTTTGAAGTTGTGAGGCTCGCAGAAGGGGACAATCTTATAGCATCCAATACAGTCTCTTCCAGGCCACCTTCATGTCTATCTTGGCTAGTCAAGATTGTCCAGAAGACATGTGGTTGGAGTGACTTGACTACCCCCTGCTCAAGAAACCTATGTTAGATCCACCATCAATGTCCACCCGGTTCCCAACTGTCTCTTTTTTGGGGAAGAGGAGAAGAACTGGACCCCAGGAACGTTATGGGACTCCCACTGAGGTAGGACCTTCGAGGTAGGAGCTAGAAGCAAACTTGTGGAGGAAAACTTGTGGTTTTGCTTAGAAGATTGGAAGAGAAAGGTGGACAGCATTTTGACGTTCATATACCTTACAACAATTAAGTAAAGGTTTTGGAACCGAATAGTGGGAGTTTAGGGTTGAACTGTGGGGTTCCTGGTGCTCTCTGAGCTGGGTGTTTTTTCTTGCAGGCGTTTCGTGACCCAACAAGGTAACGTTATCAATGCTAGAAGGGAGAAGGAAGAGGAGGACTGCGGTCCTTGGCACTCTTTCAGCTGGGTGGCTTCCTTGCACACATTTCATGACCCAACTATGGAACATCATCAATGCTAGGAGTGCGGTGTTTCCTCTCTGTATATATACCAGTGGCTTCCTTTGTTAGTGTCGGATGGAAGTGTGGTTTTTTACTTGGTAGTTTCATTATTAAGGTACGGGTAAGTCCTCGACTTACGACTACAATTCAGCCCCAAATTTCTGTTTCTTCAACAAGTTCTGCCCCCATTTGATGGCTTTTCTTGCCACGGTTAAGTGAAACCCCAAACCCCAGTTATTAAAAGTTAGTCACACGGTCGTGTACAGTTGCCAAGACTCTGAATTTTGATCACGCGACCATCAGGATACTGCGAGGGTGGCTAGGTGAGAAAATTGGTCATAAATCATTTTTTTCAGTGCTGGGTCACTAAATAAACCGTTGTAAATCGAGGACTAACTGTATTGTATTTCCTGTTCTCTGTTTTGCAATTAATATAGTACATAGATGACCAGTTTAATAATCTCCAAATAAAATTAGTAGTTAGTAGTTAAATTATTAGCTGTAAATTATTAGTAATCTAGTAGTAAATTATTAGCAATCTAATAGTAAGTTAGTAGGGCCTGTTTTACAAACTAAAATAGTTGTAAAATATTAATCAGTATTCAAGTAAAGGAGACAATATGTGTATATACGTGTATTAGTTCTTTTTTTTAATGCACTTTTGAAAAATGTCCCGTTTGTTTTGTGTCTTTTCTTTGGAAATTTTTTTTGGGCATTTTGCATTTTAACTTTTTGTTTTTTGGAAGAAAATAAAAGCGGAGCCTTTTCTTTTTTTTTAAAAAAAAAGAAATAAATTAACACGCAGAGAAGATTATGCCCCATTTGCTTTATTAATACTCTTTTTATTTTTTCTAAATTGTCAGTGAATTCGTCTTTGCGAAACAGAGAAGTTTTGCCATTTTCGTTTAGAACGCAAGACAGGATCGCACAAAAAACGGAAGGCTAGAGAGATGCAGAAATAAGCTAATGACAGAGAGACAGACCTACACATACACAAACACATACAATATGCTTTAAGGAATGGAAATATTTTTTTTTTTAAAAAATGCAAAATATAAGGGTGGAAAGATTCCTTATAATTATGTGCTGGTCCAGAGATTTTTCACTGAGAAGAGATTTTATCCTCTTCTCCAATTGTATTTTAAATTTAAAGGTTCATTATTTAACTGTGCAAAATGTGTAATACTTTATACGTAAGGTAAATCTTTTCTCCCTGTTTTTTACGATAATAAAAACATTTTTTAAACAAATTAAATGGGACAAACTAGGTTAAAAACAACAACAAAAAACCCCTACGGAAATCGTGGATTCTTCCGTTCAAAACCCCTTGTGCGGCTTTCCTATTTTTTCCTACCTACCGGTATAAATCTGATTATCCGTTTTTGTCTTCCCAGGTAGGAGTGAAGTTAGTGATCGGGAAACGTGGAAGAATTAAAAACGGAAGAAGAAAAAAAAAAGAGCGAAATTGCACAAAGATGAATGATTTCGGAAGCAGCCGAAAATTCCTTCCGGTTGTGTACGACAAATTCTACACAAAAGGCCTTTGTTCCTTCCCTTTCATAATGTGGGGTTTTTTTTTTTGCTATTTTTTTAAGACACATGATAAATGCATTGTGATAATATAATATATATTACACACACATGGGATATATATCTTTCTATATATAATATTAAAATAAAATAAGTTATAGGCGTCTGGGTTCTCCATTTCTTGCACTCTTCAAAGGACAGTAGAAGTTCGATCTGTCCGAAGGGACAAGTTGTGGGTCTGCCCCCCCTCCCCCTCACGAGGCCGACAAAATCACAAAAAGAGGTGTGAAATGAGAAGCAGGAGTTTGGCTCAGCTCTGGGTTCACAGTTTCACATTTTAAACCTCCAGCAGGGGGCGCCTGTGACCGGGGAAGGTGTAAGATGTAGTTCGGCCCACTTGAAGAGACCATCTAAGAGCGAGATGGTCTCCTCGCGGGACAGAAGGTTTTTCGGAGGCAACATCGGGGTAGGAAGGTTGTGATTTGTTGTAGGGTTGGCTGACAAGCGGATATCACAACGGAGCTGACATGCGGTTTTTAACGTTGTGCATGTGTAGGATGAAAGGCAACGATTGTAGGTTCGTCTTATCTGGAGGGGAAGATCTAACTCGTTTTACGGGTTGGAAGAGCTTGGCCATGACCTAAGTTGGAGATACTCTGGTGACATTGATCATCTAGATGAGGTTCAACCTTCCAGAAACCCTTTTGATTGTGAACTTTTAGGGGTATACCAAACCCAACCTTTGCCGCTCATTAAATCTTAGAGGTCCCCCTTTCACGATTGAGAATGGACCACCAAGTTCTAATTTCCAGCATGGTCTTCGGGGAGACTTTGCATCATCCTTGAAGATAAATGCGAGAAGAAGGCGTTTCTGACGGACCACGGGTTCCCAATGGGCTGAAGGCCAAGTCATGGGGTAGATGTATCGGTAACCCGAGTCTTCACCAAAGGCCAGGAAGGTTGAACATCAAGACGTTTTCCAATACACCGAAGTGTAAATTTGAAGTCCTGGATTTCATCCAAGGGGTTGACTTAGTTTACAAGGCTCAATTCAACTGGTTGAAGATGAATCCAATCCAACTCAAGCCCTTGGTTGAAGGCCAACAGAGGTTCTTCTCGAAGGTCTACCGTGACTTTCCTTTGATAGACAGGGACCAGGCCACAAGATATGATATCAAGAAGAGAGAGTTGCATAACATGACAACAAAGCACGGTTGAGGTCTATCTCCGATTTTGTCTTCTCAGGTAGGGTTGTCCCATCAGGAGGTGGACCTTGCGCATCTCCAGAGGTTCAAAAAAACCCAAGACAGGAACCTTTCCCATCTCCCCCGACGGCGTTCCAGAGGTCGGTCAGTCTGCCATTTTCCGCTTGGACGGTGGGATGAGGTGAGGCGGTAGATCACTGGGAAGCTCGTGGCCTTCCAACTTGACCTTGATAAGATGGTTGGCCAAGGCAAACTCTTCGTCGTCCAACATCCCATCTTTGTCGATATCGGAGAGTTTCCAGATTTTGCCCAACACGGTGTTGGGAAGCTTGGACCTCACCATCTCCCTCTTGGCGTTGGCCCCGGTTATCTTCCCATCGACGGGGGACAAGGTGTAGAAGATTTCGTCGTACATGGGCTTGTCACGGGCCACCACCCAGGTGGCGTCGTCGATGCCTTCTCCGGCTCCTTCTCCGTAGCCATGTCCGAAGGGGCCGTGGAGCGTCCCTTCGAAGGCGCCGCCTTTGACCATCTGGGCCGGCCTCTGGGATTCTTCCTGGCGCACCAAGACCATCAGTTGGGCGATGTCGCGGGCCAACATGTCTTCCACCGCGTCCAACAGCTTGGCTTTCAGGGGCTGGAATTTGCTGAAGTCTTGACCCTGGAGCTGCTCCTGGAGAAGGAGGTTAAGAGATGGGACACAGATTGAGAAGGAGGGTGGCGGTGGCAGAGACGAAAGAAAACTCTGCTTGAAAAGGTTAGAGGATCTCCTGCCTAAACGGGGTTGGACTGGAAGACCTCCAAGGTCCTTCCCAACTCTCTTCTTCTGTTATTTGGAGAAGGAGGAGAAGAGTTTCCTGCCAAAATGAGGATGGGCTAGAATACTTCCAAGGCCCCTTCCAACTCTTTTATTCTGTTATTGTGAGAAGAGGAGGAGGAAGTAAGGAAGGGAAAGGGAAGGCAGGAAGAAAAGAAGGACATAAGGCAAAGGAAGGAAGGAGGGAGGGAGGGAGGAAACGAATGGGTGTAATTCAAGGACCTGACTATGGAATGCTGGAACTGTCATAAATGCGAGCTAGTTGCCAAGTAGCCGACATAGGGCATTCTGGGCATCAAAGTCCACACATCAAAAGAATGCTCCCTCCCCCTCAGAAGAACAAATGTCCTTTCCCCCCCCCCTATTTCCCATCACTCACTTGCATTTTTTTTAAATTGGGGAAATCTCCAGGTGAGATCTGATGCTCTCTCTCGATCCGGCCGTAAATCTCGCCCAGGTTGTTGACCAACTCTTTCTTCTTGTTGTCTTTGCCAAAGACGGAGGGCATTTCTTTCTTCAGAGAGCTGATGATGTAGGCCTGAACCTGGGGAAAAAGAAATAAAAGAGTTAAAATAATAATAATAATAATAATAAAAAAATAAAAATTCAGATCCGAATGATACCAGTAGCCGGGGAGATTCTGACATTCTTGGGAGTCCCTCTGTGGGTGCGTGGGGCGCTGTGTGGATTTGTTTTAAATAAAATAAAATAAAAATGTTATGTTTTCTTTTTCTGTCTTTATCTATGATGTTTTTGCCGTTCTAAAAAGCCTTTGTTGGAGGTCCCGGGTGTTCTCCCAACTGGATGGTTTTCTTGCAGACGTTTCCTTACCCAGCTAGGGAACATCATCAGTGCTAGGAGGGAGGAGGAGGAGGAAAAGAAGGGGAAGGAAAAGAAGAAAGAACAGGAGGAGGAGTAAAAGGAGGAGGAGGAGGAGGAAGAGGAGGAGGGGAAGTAGAAGGAGGAGGAGAAGGAAGAGGAGGAGAAGTAAAAAGAGGAGGAGGAGGAAAAGGAGAAGAAAGAAAAGGAGCAGGAGCAGGAAAAGAAGAATGAGGAGGAGGAAGAGAAGAAGGAGGAGAAAAAGAAAGGAGGAGGAGAAAGAAAAGGAGTAAAAAGAGAAAGATGAAGAGGAGGAGGAAAAGAACGAGGAGGAGGAGAAAAAAAAAGAGTAAAAAGAGAAGGAGGAAGACGAGGAGAAGGAGTAAAAAGGAGAAGGAGAAGGAAGACAAGGAGGAATAAAAGGAGGAGGAGGAGGAGAAGGGAAAGGAGAAGTAAAATGTGGAGGAGAAGAAGAATTGTGGGTCCTTGGTGCTTTCTGATGATTTTCTTGCAGACCTTTCAAGACCCCATCAGTGTTAAAACGGAGAGGGGGGGTTTGTTGGGAGGAGAAGGAAGAAGAGGAGGACGAAGAAGAGGAGAACAAGTAGCAGATGGAGGAGGAGGAGGAGAACTGTGTGGTCCTTCGTGCTCTCTGAGCTTGGGAGTTTCCTTGCGGACATTTCATGACCCAATTAGGTAATGTCCTCAGGGCTAAAGGGAGTGTGGTGAGATCTTAAAAAAATATTATACCCTTGTATAAAAATCCCCAGAAAATAAAGTTCTGTATCTCTGTATCTCTCTCTCTATCTACAGTATCTATCTATCTATCTATCTATCTATCTATCTATCTATCTATCTATCTATCTATCTATCTATCTATCTACCTACCTACCTACCTACCTACCTACCTACCTACCTATCATCTAGCCTGGCTAGGTGGCTCAGTGGCTAAGACACTGAGCTTGTCGATCAGAAAATTTGGCGGTTCGAATCCCTAGTATAGATGTCCTGCGAGAGCAGGGGGTTGGACTAGAGACCCCCTCCCTCCCTCCCTATATCTAATCTCTTTCTCTCTCTCCCTCCCTCCCCCCCTCCCTATCAAAACATCCAAGTACACAAATCCTTCGAGCGATTTTCTCACCTTGGCCAGACGGGCCCTTTTAATCAGGTCGTTCAGTTTCCGAAGCGCCGCGTTCCGGGGGAGACTCTGGATGTCCCGGAAGAGATCCTGTTCCTCGGCTTCGAAGAGTTTACGGTTATCCGGGATCAGCAATGGGTGAGACCAGAAGGATCCGATGTAAACCCGGATGACTTCGGGGGTGTTGACGATCTTCCCCAGCGACCACATCAGGGCCCCATAGACCCGCATGAGCTGCTGGGTCTCGATCTGGTCGGCCTTGTTGAGGACTACTCTCATCTTATCCTCGTGGTTCTTCAGGGCTTTGATGACCTCCGAAAACTCGTCGGAGATGTCGAGTTTGTGGGCGTCGAAGAGGAGAATGATGCGGTCTACCCGCTCGGCGAACCACTCCAAGACAGCGGCAAAATCGTAGCCTGTCGGGGGTGGGGGTGGGGGAGGGAGTTTTTAGTTGAGCATGAAAGAACCAGGCGATGGAGAGTTCTAGTCCTCCCTTAAGACAGGAAAGCCAGAGGGTGACTTTGGGCCAATCGGAGGAGGAGATGGTGAGTTCTAGTCACGCCTGAGACATAAAAGCCAACTGGGTGACTTTGGGCCAATCACCAGGTGACGGTGAGTTCTAGTCACGTGTTAGGCATGAAAGACAGCTGGGTGACTTGAGGCCAGTCTCTTTTTCTTAGCCCAGCCCAACTCACAGGGTTAATCATTTGCCTTGATTTATTATTAAAAACACAATAAAGTCTGGATATAAACAAGGAAATAAAAAATTTAATAAAGTAATAAAATTAGAACAAATTGATAAGCTCTATTTCATAAAATGAGCATTTGCATTGGAATAGCCTTTTATTCTTCTAACATGTAGGTTTTCTATAGTGTTATCCTTTTTAAGAATGTAAGCCATCCCACAATCACTTTAGGTAAGATGGGCGGCCAAGAGATTTTATAAAAATAAAATTAAAAAATTAAATTAATCAAAAATTAAATAAGAACAATACAATAATACTATAAAATTATATAAATTAAATAAAATAACAAATCAATTAAATAAAAAGTTGAATCAAATTAAAGTAAAAAGTAAATTATTAAATTAAACAATTAGATAAAATTACACAGTACAATAAAACTATATAAATTAAATTAGACAACAATTAAACTAAATAAAAAGTTAAATCAAATTAAAGTAAAAAGCAAATAAAATAAATTAAATTGAATAAGTAAATTACATAATTAAACTAAATTAAAAAAAATAAATTTAAAAATAAATTTAATTAATTAAATAGAATTATACAGTTAAGTTAAATTGCATAATTAAATTAAAATAATTAAACAAAATAATTAAACAAAATGAAAAAAAAACCAACCATATTTTTCGTACTATAAGATTCACCGGACCATAAGATGCACATTAGTTTTTGGGGAGGAAAACAAGAAACAAAAATTCTGCTTCTTGCCTACAGCATCCATCCGATATTCATCTGGCTAGCGTCCTTGCAGCAAACAACAACAAACAGCCTGGTCAGCTTCAGCACGTTATTGCGGTCCCAGCACGCGCCTCGTAAGGGCTCCGCTCCGTTGTGCCCAACACCGGTCAACTGAGCTGAGCTGCCGCCGCCGGGGGACGTTGGAGCCTTCGCTGCCGAAAGTGGCAGGGAGTGCCGCAGCCCATTACCAGTCTCTACGGCCCGTTCGCCAGCAAACGGGTGGTGGCGATAGACAGCAGCCATGGAGATCCCCGCCACCTAGAACAGCTGATCGGCGCCGCACCAATACCCGTCCTCCCCGCCACAATATTCGCTCTATAAGACGCACAGACATTTAAACCCATTTTCGGGGGGGGGGGAGAGTGTGTCTTATAGTCTGCAAAATACTGTAAATTAAATGAAAAAAAAATAAATTATTAAATTGAATTAAATGAATTAATTGAATTAATGAAATTAACTGGAAGCTTTGAAAAAGAGCCTGGACTGCCATCTGTCAGAAATAGTCTCCTGCTCAGGCAGGATGGGTGTTGGACTAGATGGCCTTTCAAGGTCCCTTTCCCACTATTGACGTTAAGCTCAATTACATTAAAGATTTATCAGCGATCCTATCCCGAAGATCTGGAAGCTCTTATTTCAGCTGGACCAATCGTAAGCATGAGTCACCGCCTTAATTGAATTCCGTAGGTCACCAAATTCCGGTAAATCTGATCATCGCAATACTATCTATTATTCAATAAACCCACAATGAAGCTTTTGTTAAGAAGCAGAACATCGTCTTGCATAATTTAGATTTTAGAACGATCGGGGGTGGGGGGGAGGAAAGGAAATTTGCTGACGGAGAATTACGCCAAGGGCAACAACAACAATAATAATAACTTTTATTCATTAAACATGAAACTCACGTCAACTGAACATTTAAAAATGTACCACAAACATCATCATTACTACTATTATTAAAAAATTCTTGCCAGTCCCAATGAAGAGAAATTCATTTGCAGAATGAGATATATTTCCTGCAAAACCTCGCTCGCATTTCAAGCGATGATCAATCAAGTATTCAATATACAGTATATATATTTGCTTTCTTCTCTTATCATAGGTTTTTATATGTATTTTTCTTCAGCCGGGTATTTTCCTACGTAAACCAAGTTTCTCAAACTCAAATTCACTGAGCTATGGCTGCAATTTGAGAAACTTGGTTTACGTAGGAAAATACCCGGTTGAAGAAAAATACATACATACATATATACATACATACATACATACATACATACATGCATGTTTTCGTAGATTTTCACGGGTAGAGGTATGCAAGTTTTGGTGTATTCGGGTCTTTTCCCGTGTAAGATTGAGAGTATCTTGATTGGTATCAATCTTACACGGGAATAAATATATGCCAAATGGAAGAGACAGGCTGTCCTTGCCTTACGATGGTTCATACCGTCGTAAGTCACTACAGTACGCTTATGACACTAATTATTTAGTTACCGCTCGAAGTGATGATAGCGCTGGATAAAAGAGGGAGTTTTTCACTGTGACGACTGTCGTAGTCGCCGTTAGGCACCCGATCAAAATTCAGACACTTGGCAACGGACTCCTACTTATGACGGTCGTGGCATCCAGTGATTCCCTTTTGCGACCTCCTGACGGCCGCTAGATTCCCTTAACAACCGTGTTGCTAACTTTTCAACTGCAGGCATTCACTTCACAACGGTCGTAAATTGGGGCCTTTACGTCTCCCTTAATGACAGAAATGTTGGGCTCCATCGTGGTCGTAAGTCGAGGACTGCCTGTATTGCCAATGTTCACTATAGTGATTTGCTTCCCTTAACGACCGTGTGTTGTTTTTTTTTATTTAATTTATATGCCGTCCTTCTCCGGAGTCTCGGGGCGGCTTACAATGCGTTAAGCAATAGCCTTCATACTTTTGTATATTTATACAAAGTCAGTTTATTGCCCCCACAAACTGGGTCCTCATTTCACCTACCGGCAGTTGATATGTGTTCCCGACATATCAACTGCAGGGGTTCACTTAACAATGGTGGCCACAAAACGTGGCCACAAATTGACTGAAACGATGTCTCGCTTCGCCACGGAAAATTTGGGACTTTTGTCATAGCCGTGAAGTCGAGGACTACCTGTAGAATATCTGCCTGCCGAGGAACAAAACCGCCAAGGTCTCCCCCGATGAAAACGAAACGGCGAGAAAAATCGGACTTCCAAAATTGGACGAAAACGATCTGGCCACGCCCACCCAGCACTCAGATGCCCACACACCTGATGGTCCTGAGGGCCACGCCCATCCAGCCACACCCACCTGGTGACACTCAGATGGCCACGCCTACTCAGCAACACCCAACTGGCAAGACTTGGATGGCCACGCCCACTCAGCAACACCCAACTGGCAAGACTTGGATGGCCACGCCCACTCAGTGACACTCAGATGGCCACACCCACTAAGCCACACCTACCTGGTGGGCATTCAGATTGCCACACCCACCTGATGGGCACTCATATGGCTACGCCCACACAGCCACGCCCACCACTGAGCCCGTCACAGACCTAATTTGGAGACGGGGGTTTAAATCCGGTTTTCCAAAACTATTGTGGGAACGACAACAGACCGCAGGCCAGTTTACACATCCCGCACATCCCACATTTGCCTTCGCGCTTGGCTGGACTAGATGACCTCCAAGGTCCCTTCCGATTCTCTCTTCCTATTAACTTATCCTAGGTTTTAAAAAAGTATTTTAAAACTTAAAAGTCACAGGAAAATGATAATCACCTCGGCTAATCCTTTGCTTCTCTCCGGAGAGGATTCCAGGGGTGTCGATCACACTAATGCTGTCGAGGACTGCATTTGGCAGCTGAGCACACACAAATCTGAGGGGAAAAGGGGAAAAGAACAACTTGAATTATTGGAGAGAAAAGAACATGTCTCACTTGTACCATAGGGTACAATGGATCATTCCGCATAACGTTCTTGGACTGATTCTTAGGAACTTCAAGTTGCCTGGACTTCAACTCCCAGAATCCCCCAACCAGCATCCTTTAAGAGGGGAGGACTTCAACTCCCAGAATTCAACTCCATGCTGCCTGGGGAAATCTGTGATTTCCCAAGTCCAAGCATGTTATAGCACACTGGCTGGGGAATTCTGGGACCCCTCTTAAAGCAAAAAGAGATGGAGAGAGTATGAAAGAGAGAATGAGAGATGGGGAGAGAGAATGAAACAGAAAGAGGGATGGAGACTGAGAGGCAGAGAAAGAGATGGAGAGGGGGAGGGAAAGAGAATGAAAGAGAGAAAAAAAGGGAGGGAGATAAAGAGAATGAGAGAGAAAAAGATGGAGAGAGTATGAAAGAGAGAAAGAGAGATGGGGAGAGAGAATGAAAGAGGGATGGAGACTGAGAGGCAGAGAAAGAGATGGAGAGAGGGAGGGAGAGAGAATGAAAGAGAGAAAAAAAGGGAAGGAGATAAAGAGAATGAGAGAGAAAAAGAGATGGAGAGAGTATGAAAGAGAAAGAGAGACTTAAAGAGAGAGGGAGGGAGGAAGGAGGAGAAAGAGAGATGGAGGGAGGGAGAGAGAAAGAGACGGGGGAGAGAGAGAGAAAAAATTCAAAATCAGGCCATGAGGATGTCCATTCTAACTTTAGCCATTCAGTGAGCGGTCATTAAGCGAGGACCATCTGCAGTCAGGAGTAATATTTCTGAAGCTGAAAAAAAGTGATTGGCAGATAAGAAAAACCGGGCTAGGCTGCCGAAGAACCGACGGTGACCGGGTCCGCCTGACCCAGGCCTCCAAAAACCAGTTTCCCCAGTCAAACCAGTTCGGAACGCCGCACCAGTAGCCGACTGACCTGTTCAAGAAGGCGTTGCCGAAGGCGTTGAGTTTCCGGAAGGGCTTCTTGGGATCTACAACCAGCGCATTGCCAGGGATGATCCCTTCCACGTCACCCTGCATCACCGCAATGAAGGAGTCCGTCGTGGGTTCGGGTCCGATCCGCATCCCAGGGAAATCCTGCTCCAGTAGGTACCTAAAAAACAGACATCAAGCACACAAGCCATGAATGGTACCAGAAAGCAAACATCAAACAGGTATGTGGCAAGCAAGGTCGTAAAATGGGGCAAGACTCCCTTAACAAATGTTTCACTTAGGGATGGAAATTTTGGGCTCCACTGCGGTCGTAACTCGAGGACTACCCGAAGTGAACAAGCAACTAAGGTTTAGTGAACCATGTCATTCACTCAACCTCTGGCAGGGTTTCACTCAACAACAGTGGCGAGCGAGGGCCCCCAAACTCACTTAATGACTCGCTTAGCGACAGAAACAGCCGTAAGTAGAGGATGACCCGAATTGGTGCTGAATCAGCAATGTGGAATGGGGTTTGTATTGAAGCCGAGAGATGATGTTAGAAGACGACTCGGGAGACCGAGCGGATCTGACTCAGCAGACAAACCAACCAGGTTAAGAGGAGGAGTGGAAACAAGAAGCCAGCTTTGACTGAAGAGTCTTTTTATTTAGTTTTATTTTTCCAGCGAGGAGAAGAGTGTCAAGACACAGCTGGAGAATCCCAGAGCCTGATGGGTGTTTCCAGCTGTGGTTTGCTGGCCTTAAAAAAAACAAACCAATCCTGATCTCAGTTTCTCAGATGCTGGAACAGGATTTGTCCATCTTGGCAGCTGGAAGATGGGTGGACTTCAACTCCCAGTATTCCCCAGGCAGCATATTTAGAAGCACCAATATCTATCTATCTATCTTTTTCTTTCTTTCTTTCTTTTCTCTTTCTTCCTTTCTCTCTCTCTCTCTCTCTCTGTCAACCATTGCCAAGATGGATGGACTTCAACTCCCAGAATTCCCAAGGCAGCATGTTGAGAAGCACCAATATTTATCTTTTTCTTTCTTTCTTTCTCTTCCTTCCTTCCTTCCTTTCTTTCTCTTTCTCTCTCTGTCAACCTTGGCCAAGATGGATGGTCTTCAGCTCCCAGAATTCCCCAGGCAGCATGTTGAGAAGCACCAATATCTATCTTTCTTTTTCTTTCTTTCTCTTTCTTTCTTTCTCTTCCTTTCTTCCTTTCTCTCTCTCTCTCTCTCTCTCTCTCTCTCTCATATACTCACACTCACTTTCTATCCATCCGTCCGTCCGTTTCTCAACCTTGGTCAAGATGGGCGGACTTCAACTCCCATAATTCGCCAGCCAACACGCTGGAGGCTGACAATTTTCCTTGTCTCAGATTAAACCACTTTAAAGCTTGCATTAAGCAGAGATCTTTGTTCTCCATTGTCTTCCCGACTCAACTTTAAACCCTCGATTTATGACTGTGGACACCAGAATCCAGTCGGACCTCCTTTCGAAGCCACTCATAAGACCACCATCGTTATCCAGAGCAGCACAGAAAAAAGAAGCTCGAATTAAACCTGGTTTGTTTGAATCCTACATAACCTTCTGCAGGGCGTTTGTACGTTGGACAAAGATGACAAGGCACATCGTAAAAGATCAAAGGATGGGAAAAAACACACACAAAGCTAAGCTCTTTTATTAATCACCACTAATTTGATTAATCATTAACCATGGTTAAAGTGTAGCTTGTACCTGACAAAGGAAGGCTACCAAGGTGCAAGTAGCAACAATAAACCTGGTTCAAAGATCACAGGAATTATAAAAGAATAAAGATAAGATTATCTGGTATGAACGATAAGGCTGGTTTTCTTGGAAAAACACCAGGGGGGCATGTGATTGTAGTCCTCAAGTTACTACTGTTGGTTTAGTGACAGTTCGAAGTTACAACGGGGTTGAAAAAAATGACTTAGGTTTTCACATGATCAAAATTCGGATGCTTGGTAACAGCCACGTGACCAATGGAGCAACTGCAGCGATTCACTTAGCAACGGTGGCAGGAAAGGTCCCCAAATGGGTTCGAACTGACTTCACAAGTGTCTCTCTTAGCAACGGAAATGTCGGGGTTCATTGCGGTCGTAAAATGAGGACTATAACATTGTGATTGAAGAGATGGGGGTTCAGTTTGATGGGGGTTCATGGAATGACTCGGTCTAGTCAGCCTTACCCACCTCAAGTGATATACAGGTAGTCCTCAAAGTTACGACCGTTAATAATATAAATAATATAAAGTCATAATAGGAATGGCCGTTCGCAGCATTCCCATGAAGATCTCCTGAGTCCCGCAGGAGAAGGGCGGTATAGAAATATAATAAAATAAATAAATAAAATAAATAAAATAAGATCTGACCACAATTTAAATTTGCGCAGAAAACCAGGACTTATTTCCAGTCCTTGGCAAACACATCCCCTATCCAACAGTAGATTCGCTTAACGAGCATGGTGTTCATTTAACAACTGTCACAAAAACAAATAAAATAAAAATAAAATTGGAACAGAAACGTGACCGGAATCATTTAATGAGCATTATTGCTCATTATGGAGCTGCAGTGGTGCAGTGGTTAGAGTGCAGTACTGCAGGCTATTTCTGCTGACTGCTGGCTGCCAGCAGTTTGGCAGTTCGAATCTCACCAGGCTCAAGGTTGACTCAGCCTTCCCATCCTTCCGAGGTGGGTAAAATGAGGACCCAGATTGTTGGGGGCAAAATGCTCACTCTGTAAATCGCTTAGAGGGGGCCTGTAAAAGCACTGTGAGGCAGTATATAAGTCTAAGTGCTGTTGCTATTGAATCACAATCATTGTGGTCGCGGATCATTATGGTCGTAACTCCAGGACTGCCTGTTTAATTTCAAACCCAACATGTCACGGATGCAAGATGTCTTGTGAGAGTCTTGTTTTAAGGAATTAAGGAGTCTTGATTAAAGAAATAAAGCAAACCAAATAAATGTAATAAAATAAATAAAGAAATAAAGTAAAATAATAATAATAAAATGAAACAAATAAAATGAAACAGTAAAACAATAAAAATAAAAAAACAAACTGAAATAAAACAAAACAAAGAAGTAAAACAATAAAATAGAAAAGAAAGGAAGGAAAGGAATGGAATAGGAAATAGAAATAGAGAATAGAATAGAGAATAAAAAGAATAGAATAGAATAGAGAATTGACTACAAAATATAAAGTAGAAAATTGAATAGGATAGGATACAGGATATAGAATAGAATAAGGAATGGAAGAGACTAACAGAGTTGGAAGTCATCCCGCTGCTTAGGCAGGAAGCCCTATACAATTTTTTTTTTTTTAAATTTGATTTATATGCCGCCCTTCTCCAAAGACTCGGGGCGGCTTACAATGCATTAAGCAATAGCCTTCATCCTTTTGTATATTTATATACAAAGTCATTGCCCCCCACAAACTGGGTCCTCAATTCACCTACCTTAGAAAGGATGGAAGGCTGAGTCAACCTTGAGCCTTGGCGAGATTCGAACCCTGCAGTAATTGCAGGCAGCTGGTCTTAATAACCAGCTTAATAACAGGGTGCCTTAAACCCCTGTACTACCAAGGCTCTATACAATTTGAGACATCTAGTTTCTTCTTAAAAACTTCCAGTGTTGGAGCATTTAAAATTTCTGGTGGCATTTAAGATAAGAGTATGGAAATTAAATTCAAATTGCCTCTTCTTCAACTAGTAATCCTTGGTTTATGAAGATGGATGGAGGCTTGCTTTTCAATATTATTCTGGCTGTTTTTTTATTCCCGCATGGATCAATTTTTAATTTTTTTTAAAAAAATTTCCCCAACCTCCATGGAGAGCACATTTTCTGTGAAAAATCAACATTTTTTGGGGGGTAGGTTGGGGAGAAGAGAAGGATGAATCGGCAAATCGATAGTTAGGCCCAGGGTAAGAAATGCTAGGGGAGAGGAGCCAGAGGAAAGGAGAAATTTTTTGGGCTTTTTTCCATGAGGGACTAACGGGCAGAGACCCGAGTTCGAGAGATCGTGACGTGGGGAGAGAGAGGGAGGGAGGGAGAGGGAGAATATAGAAAATATAAATGGAGATGATGATGTAAGATAGTTGGGTTGTGAGATGTCTGCAAAAAAGTCTCCAAGCTTGGAGAGCACCCAGGACCCCATAGTCCGTCTGTCCTTCCTTCCTTTCCCCCCTGCTTCTCCTCCTCCTCTCCACAAACCCTCCTCCCTTCTAGCACTGATGATGTTCCCTAGTTGGGTCATGAGATGTCTGCAAGAAAACCACCAACCTCAGAGCACCAATGACCCCACCAAAAAAAAAAACCCAAACAAACCCAGAAATAAATTGCATTTATGGCCCAAATGAAAGTAAAAACACTCAATTTTCCTATTTTATTCATTCTGTCTGTTTATTATGAGCATTTCTCCCCTACACCAGACACAGGAATTCTGGGAGTTGTAGTCCATCCCTCTTAAAGGGGCCCACACCTTGAGAAACATCAGGTGAGAGTTACCAATTGATGGTTACTCCATAACCCAATCAATCTATTCTTCCCATCCATCTCAACTGGGGGAGATCATGGGAATTGTAGTCCACCCCTCTTAAAGGCCATCTCCCCCCTTTGAGAAACACTGGACAAGAGCCATCAATTGAAGGTTGAGCATTATTGTCACAATCACACCCCACCGCAACAAGGCTATTTGCCTCCAATTCGATCCCAGATGGGGGATGATGGGAGTTGTAGTCTCTCTATCCCCAGTTTAAAGAATCCGAACTTGAGAACTAACCATTAAAGGTCGGGCTTTACTTCATAACTCAACAAGGCTATTCTACCCATCCAGGGGGATGATGGGAGTTGTAGTCCACCCCTCTTAAACCGGGGGGGGGTGGGGGGTGCGCTTTTGAGAAGCCCTTCAGTGAGAGCCACCAAAGGAGGGCTGAGGCCGTGACTCCCAGCCCCATCACAAAAAAGCCTCTTGTGTCAATCAATCCCAGCTGGGGGAGGATCATGGGGGTTGTAGTCCGCCCCTCTGAAAGGGGCCCAGCTTTGAGAAACATCGGGTGGGAGTTACCCATTGAGGTTCAAGTGTTATTTATTTCCCAGCCCATAAAGGGTATCCCCCCACCCATCGGTCCCAGCCGAGGGAGGGGGGAGATCATGGGAGTTGTAGTCCACCCCTCTTTTAAAGTCCCCCCCCTTTTGAGGAAAAACTAGACAAGGGCCATCAACTGAAGGGTCGCCCAGCCAACAAGGCTATTCTGCGGGGGTGGGTGGGTGGGGATGATGGGACTTGTGGTCCCCGAATCTTTTCAAAGGAGCCCAGTTTGGGATCTAACCACTGAGGGTCGCCCCAACTACTCCAGAGGGGCCAAAGAAGGCTGTGGGGGGGATGATGGGAGTTGTAGTCCCTAAAGCCACGGGGGGGGAAAGGGAAGCGCCCCCTACCGGATGAAGGTGGTCTTGCCCGTGGAGTACTGGCCCACCAGCAGCACCATGGGCTTGTTGTCGAAGTCGGCGTCCTCCAGGGCGGGCGAGTGGAACTCGTGGAACTTGTAGTGCTCCTCCAGCGGCAGCAGCTTGGCCTTGTAGAGCTTCTTCAGGCCTTCGCTCACCGTCTGGAAGACCTCGGGGTCCTTGCGCCGCCGGTCGTCGCCCCCCAGCCAGCTGAACATCGCCGCGAAAGAAAGAAAAGAAGGAAAGAAAAGGAAAGAAGGAAAGAAAGGAAAGGAAGGAGGCAGAGAGAGAGAGAGAGAGAGAGAAAAGACTCAGCCCGGCAGCGGCGGCGGCGGGAGTTTAAATGCCAGATCTGCCAAAGGACGGCCCCGGAAGCGGAAAGGGCCCGCGCGACGGACTTCCGCTCCGGAAGGAGTACGCCGCGCTAGGCTCTCCTCTCTATGGGCAGCGGTAGTAGAGGAAAAGGAAGTCGCGCTAGGAGGAGACTCAGTGGCGAGGGATTTGGGGGGGGGGCTGGGTTCCGGCCTTCTGGTTGGCTAAAGAATGGGTGGGGCTTCCGGGTAGAGCGCGGCGCGCTAGGAGGAGACTCTATAGGCGGCGCCGGTTTGGTAGATCAAAAGGAAGCCGCACTAGGAGGTTACTCTATGGTGGAAGGGGGGTCCTGAATGGAAGGGAGGCTTTAGGTTTGCGGGGCAAATGCACGGCGCGCTAGAAGGAGACTCTATGGCAAGGGGCCGGTTTTCCGGTCGGGCTCTATGGCAGGGCTTCCACAATTAGGGGGTTCCAGTTAGTAAAGCACGGCGCCCTAGGAGGAGACACTATTGCGGGGGGAAGGGGGGGTTAGCCTTCTGGATGCGTCATTGAGTGGGACTTTTGGGTAGAGAAGACCGCAAAAGGGCAGCAAAGGGGAACCGTCACGCCGCACTAGGCGGAGTCTCTATGGTGGGGTCGGCCGTTCTTGCCCAGCACAAGCGGTGTGTCCTCCACCAGTGAGGACTTCCGGTTACGTAGAGCATAGGAACGCCGCGCTAGCCGGACACTCTATGGCGGGGTCTGTCCTTCTGGCCCAGCCCAAGCCGTGTCAGCACTAACGTTCAATGGGACTTTTCTCTGCCCCTTTTTTCTCCTCCGTGGTCTCGGCTGCCCCCTGGCGGCCGAGTGGAGCGCACAGGCGCGCTCGGGGAGGCTGGCGGCCGGCCGCGCAGGCGCAGAGTGGCCTGGCGAGCCTGGTCCTCCGCAGAGGTGGCGCATTTGGGGGAGGGGGAGGGGGAAAGGAGAGAGAAAGAGATGGAGATTTGTTCGCCGCAGCGCATGCGCGCGGCCGCCTCGTGAGGCCGGTCCTCCGCAGAGGTGGCTACTTGAGTGCCTGCGCGGGGTCCTGGCTTGACATTGATTCGGACGCCATGTCGCAGCAGCAGCCTCGAGCCCCTCCGGCCGCCGCCGCCTCTGCCGCCCCCAACCCGGGCGTGATTGGCTTCCTCCGCCACCAAGTGAAGCATCGGCCCAGCGTGAGTGTCTCCCCGGGACTCCCGCCCCCATCGTCCCCGGCAGGACGGGCCATTCGCTCGCCTGGACTCCAGGTCCCATCATCCCCTAAGTGGGGCTACCTACCGTAGAGGTCATTCGCACGCCTGGACTCCAGGTCCCATCGTCCCCGGCCGGTGCAAGCTCTCCCCCCACCCACGGGGTCGTCTATGTTCCTGGACTCCAGGTCCCATCGTCCCCGGCACGTGATCCAAACCCCAGGCTCCTCTTTTAACGCAGGCTGCCCTGTCACCCGATTCCCCCTTCTTGACCAGCCAAAGTCAATGGGGGTGGGGAGATGGATTCGCTTAACAGCCTAACCCACTGCGTTGATTCGCTTAACAACGGTGGCAAGGGAGGTCAGAAAACGGGGCAAACCTCCCTTCAAGGCATTTTTGGGGCTCCATTGAGGTCGTAAGGCCCTTATTTCTTAGCCTCCCTCTCTTTCCCAAAGTCAAACTTCCGACGGCCTCTAAACGGCCGTAAATCCGAGGACTTCCTGTATCGCTCCTAATTTTTAATTCTAATTTTTACTTTTTTTTTTCTCGTAGCTTATTCCGCTTTTCATAATTATGGGGACTGCAGTGGCCGGTGCCGGACTCTATTTGATGCGTCTGGCTTTGTACTGCCCCGAAGTCAGGTATGTCTCCGTCGCACCCACATTAAACCTGGTTTATTATCCTACAAACCGCAATTGTTGGGTTGGAAGGAATTCTCTGGAGCTGAATTGGTCATTTGCATCTGTCGCTATTTTTTTTTTTCATTTTGCAAATTAGAAAAAAACATGAAGAGTAAAAGGACCAGCTGTCTTTTTTACAAACACTTAATATGGGGACCCCTCAGGACTTAACAATGGTTCATTTAGTGACCATTCGAAGTGGCGTTGAAAAAAAGTGATTTATGACCGTGTTTCATGCTGTCTGGACTTCAACTCCCAGAATTCCCCAAGAGTCATGGGGAGATTGAGTTCCTTGGTGCTCTCTGAGCTTGCAAGAGGTTTCTTGACTCAACTATGGAACATCATTAGTGCTAAAAGGGAGGAGGAAGAAGGATTGTGGGATCTTTGGTGCTCTTTGAGCTATGTGGTTTTCTTGCAGACATCTTATGACCGAACTAGGGAATGTCATCAGTGCTAGGAGGAGTGTGGGGTTTGCTTTCTATTTATATACAATCCTTTCTAGCATTGATGATGTTCCATAGGTGAGTCATGAAATGTCTGCAAGAAGACCACCAAGTTCAAAGAGCACCAAGGGCCACACTGTCTGTCCTTCCTCCTCTTCCTTCTCCCGCCCTCCCTTCTAGCACTGATGATGGTCAGTGATGGTCCTTGGTGATCTCTGAGCTGGGTGGTTTTCTTGCAGACATTTCATGAACCATCTAGGGAACGACATCAATGCTAGCGAGGAGTGTGATTATTTTGTTTATAACCATAGAGCAAACCCCACTCATAGCACTGATGATGTTCCCTAGTTGGGTTATGAAATGTCTGCAAGACAACCACCCACCTCAGAGAGCATCCAAGGACCCTAAAGTCCTTTCTCCTTCCCTTCCTCCTCCTCTAGCTCTGATGACCCTAGCTGGGTCATGAAACGTTAAGAAAACATAACAGTCATTAAGTGAGCCTATTTCTCCCTCCCCCATCCCCCCCAATGGGATTTTTTGTGTCCCAAACCAGAAACAAAGATCAGAAACAGCTACCGGGGAGAGAGTTGCGGCCATTAAAACGAGTCTTGAGTAGTTTTGCAAAGGCCCGTCGTAACTTAGAACAAAGCAACTGGTCGTTAAGCAAGGTCTACCTTCATATAGTGACCTGATTGTGTCTGTTTTCTCCCCCTTTTTTCCTCCTAGATGGGATAAGAAGAATAACCCGGAGCCATGGAACAACCTTGATCCCACTCACCGTTACAAGGTGCGGCATTTAAATGTCGAATAAATTACAACGCTCGGTATATGACAGGTTTTGCCAGGGCATTCAAAGCAGAGAGGGTTGGACTAGATGACCTCTGGGGTCCCTTCCATTATTGTGATTCCATTATTCTGTTATTTTAAGGGGCTCCATGGATACGGATTAAAGGGCTGGATTTAAATTAGCTTTAGGATCCAGCCAGACTAACAAAAATAAAAACTTAAGACGATAAAAGCGGATTAAATTCTAAGGCCGCCAAGTCTTTTACAATCCTCATTATAGGTGGTACCTTGCTCAAGGACTAGATGACCTCCGAGGTCCCTTAAAAACTCTGTGATTCTGTTATTCTGTAAGGGTCTCCTGTTTGAGCAGGAGGTTGGACTAGATGACCTCTAAGGTCCTTTCCAACTCAGTTATTTTATTCTCATTTATTCTATTTATTTAAGGCGGGACTAGAACTCACCGTCACCTGGTGATTGGTCCAAAGTCACCCAGCCGGCCTTCCTGCCTAAGGTGGGACTAGAACTCTCTGTCTTCTGGTGACTGGCAATTTTTCACCCTGTTGCAAAGTTCTGTCCGTCTAGATATTAAGGGCTATGGATTGTTTTACAGCAGGGTTAAGAGTGCTGTGCAACTGAGTAGTAAGACCACTTATTAAAGTTGTAGTAATCCATATTTTGGTTGAAAATTGGAATCCAAGGAAGTACAAAATCGGTAGGTGTTTTTTTATTTATTTATTTTTTCGCATTTGATTTCAAGTTTTTTCTCTTTTTTGCAAAAGCAACCACTCCTCTTCATAATTCTCTTTTCTTTTTCCAGTTCTTTGCTGTCAACATGGATTATAGCAAGTTGGAAAAAGACCGTCCCGACTTCTAAAACGAGGTGGGTTTTGCAACTGTTCTCGCAGCCGCCATCCAATGAAGGTCTTCCGGAAGCTGACCGCACAATCCCTTTCACCCGTCACAATCCAGGAATTAAAATTTTTGTGTGCATTGCCTTGAAAAATAATGTGTTGGAGACGTGCATGCTTAAAATTAATAAACGAACCACTTGAAAAATTTAAATATCAGTGAGACTTCAATTCCCAGAATTCTCCAGCTGGATTTATTAAACCTTAAAACCCCTTTTAAAAATATTATTTATTAGAGATGGAAGTAAGATAAATATATATAAAGATAAACATAAACAAAAAAATGATCTGCAGCGGCAGATATAAATATTGGCTATTTTTATTGGCAGTCCTTTTATTTTGGAGCAGAATTGAGCCCCCCAAATGTTTGTGTGACAGTTGTGAAGTGAATTTTGCCTCATTTTATGACCTTTCTCACCGCCGTTCTTAAGTGAATCCCTGCCGTTGTTCAGTTAGCGACCCAGTTCTTAAGTGAATCCGGCTTCCTGCTTGTCAGAAGGTTGCAAAAGGAGATAATGTGACCCCGGGACGATGCCACTAGTCGTAAAGACGAGTCGGTTGCCAAGCTGGGGAATTTTGATCAGGTGTCATGGTCATTAAGTGTGAAAAACAGTATGGCAGTCCCTTTTCTTCTGTGTCATTATAACTTTGAACGGTCACTAAATGAATGACTACCTGTATTTAAAATCTGGCTCAACATGGCTGAGTGCCAAGCTGACCTAGAAAAGAGATCTCGGAGGTTTGGGATGGGAGACCACCAGGAGAGCCAAGGGCCTTAGAATAATTTGGGAAATTTAAATTGGAAGAGAATCTGGGCTCAAAGCTGAATTAGGAAGTCAAGCTTGACCAGAACTGTGACTGGAGGGAAGTTTGACGTAGCCCAGAGTAGTATTAACAATTTTCCTTGTTAATACTACTCTGGGCTACACAACGGCCTGTTTGGGATGGGAGACCACCAGGAGAGCTAAGGGTTGTAGATAAAAGTGGGGGGGGGGGGAAACTCCAGCCACAGCAGAGTTGCTTCCCTAAATGGAAGCCTGGAAGATCCCTGCAAGATCCAGAGCCTGCTCGGTTTCTTTTCACAATAACTATTCCTCGACCCACATTTCTGTCGCTAAGTGAGACATTTGTTGCAAGCGAATTTGACAAGCTTTCTGGACACTGGTTATGAGAATGACTGCACTTGTTCAGTTAGTGACACGGTCGTTAAGCAAATCCGGCTTCTCCATGGAGTTGGCTGGTGAGGTCGCAAAAGGGGATCAGGTGACCCCTCCACAGGACGCTGCGACCGTCATAAAGATGAGTCAACTGCCGAGGTTGATCATGTGACCAGGGGGCTAATGCAACAGTCGTGAGAAAAGCAGCCCGTTTTTAGTAATTTGGAACGGTCACTAAATGAACGGTCGTAAGTCAAGGACTATTATTAAACGTACAGGGTACAAATCACTTCCGTGAGGCAAATTGGGCTGCTGGGCCCCATTGAAGGAAATCGGGGGCCCCCAAGGGCCAATTGGTCACTGGGCTGGGGGTTGGGAATCCCATTTGCAGCACAGCTCCAAGCTGGGGAAGAGACTTCAACTCCCAGAGTTCCTCGCGCGAGACGTCACGCAGGCGTGAGGAGAGAAGGCGGACTACATCTCCCGGCATCCTCCGCGGGTGGGAGGGGGGCAGGGCCTTTCTAGCTCAGTCGCGTTTGCCTGGCCGAGATGAAGGACTTCAACTCCCAGAGTGCCTCGCGCGCCGCTTCCGCCGGCGGAAGTCCTCCGCAACTCAGGCGGGACTTCCAACTGCCAATAGCAGGGCGCCTCACCGACGAATGGGCCGAGTCGCATGGAGGAAGGACTTCGACTCCCAGAGTCCCCCGCGCTCTGGTTCCGCCGGCCCGCTCCCCGAGGGCTAAAGGGGCGGGGCTGCAGCTCCCAGCGCAGAAGGAGGCCGGCGGCGAGCGCGGAGGGGCCTGGACTACATCTCCCGCCATCCCCCGCGCGGGGAGTTTTTGGGGGTCCCCATGGAGGCCCCCGCGGCGGCCACCTTCACCCTGGCCTACCTGGTGCTGACCTTCTGTTTCGTCTTCCCGCCCACCGAGTTCCACCTGGCCGGCCTGACGGTGCAGAACCTGCTGGGCCGCTGGCTGGGCAGCGAGGACGCGGCCTTCGTGCAGTACCACCTGCGGAGGGGCTCCGGCACCCTCCTGGCCCACGCCGCCCTGCCCCTGGGTGAGGGGCTTCCCGGGGGGCGAGGAGGGGCGGCCTGGCTCCGGGGGAGGGGCAGCCCCAAGGGGGGAGGGCGGCGGCCCCAACAGAAGGGGGTGCAAGGAGGGGGGAGGGGGAGGGGAGAAGGGGTGGACTGACCCCCCCCCTTTAGCGTCTGGCCCTGGATCCCCTCATTCAGCTGCGGGGCGGGGACGGGTAGAAAGGGGAGGGAGGGAGACCCCTGAGGAGGGGGGAGGTCAGGGAGGGGGAGGGAGAAAAGTGGGGAGGGAGAGGGGACCCCCAGGAGAGGGGCTGGGAGAAGGGAGGAGAAGCCCCAAGGGGAAGGAGAGGAGACCTCCAGGAGGGGGGGCAGGGAGGGGGGGAAAGGAGAATGGAGGAGGGGTAACTGCCCACCCCCCCCCGCTTCGGGTCTGGCCCTGGACCCCTGCATTCAATGGGGGGGGAGGGGCGGGAAAAGAGTAGAGGGAACGTGAAGTGGGGGAGGGAGAGGAGTCCCCTCCCCACAAGAGAGGGAGCTGAAAGGGGAGGCACAACCCCCAAGAGGGGGGGACAGGCATGGTGTGTGGGGAAGGGGAGCCCCAAGGAGGGGGAACGCAGGGGAGGAAGGAAGGAAGGAATGGAGAACAGGGAGGGAGGAGAGAAAGAAAGAGAAAAGGAAGGAAGGACAGCGAAAAAGAAGGGGAAGGTGAAAGAAAAATAGGAAGGAAAAGGAAAGAATCAAGGAGCGAAAGAGAAAGAAAGAGAGAAAGAAAGACCTCTCCCCTCTTCCACAGGCTACTACCTGGGCATGTGCTTCGCGGCACCCGAAAAGCAGCTCTGCAACATCTCCCAGGCGCACATTCTGTGGCAAACCTTCTTCGCCGGGGCCCTTCTCCTCCTGGTCCTCGCGGGCACCTTCACCTACTACTGGTCCCGGGAAGGCTGGTCCCACCACCCGCTGGTCCAGCTCCTCTCCACCTTCGCTCTGCCGCCCCACGCCGGCTGGTGGACCGTGGCCTCCGCCATCAACACCGAATTCCGGAGGATCGACAAGTTTGCCACGGGGCCGCCGGGGGCCCGACTGATTGTGACCGACAGCTGGATTATCAAAGTGACCACCTACTCCTTCCATGTGGCTGAACAGCGGGATGTCCAGCTGACCGTCATAGACTCGAGGCAGCAGGACCTCTTGCCGGATGCCAGCATGCCTGCTCAGTTCCTCACCATCCGTGTGGCCAGTGCCAATCCTCACGTCAAAACCTTCGACATCCGGTAACGTTTCTCCCAGAATCTGCTGGGGGGGGGCGGCTTAACTTGAACTTGGAGCCGAAGAGATTTAGCAATCTGGAACGCAACCCCGAATCATTTTCCTCTGGCAGTTCCATTTACGCAGGTAGTCCTCGGTTTACGACCGCAAATTTCTATTTTGTAGCTTGTTGAGCCTGTCATTTCAACTGTTCTCGTCCCCAGTTGTTAAATGAATCCCAGCAGGTTTTAATCACACGGTTGTTAAGTGAATCATCACAGGTTTTAAGCAAACTGTGGCGACATCTCTGCAGTCGCATAATTAAAATTCGGACACTTGGCAACTGACTCATATTTATGGCGGTTGCAGCATCCTTGGGTCACGTGATTCTCCTTTGCGACCTTCTGACCAGGGGGGGAGCCAGCTTCACTTAACAATCATATGACTCGCTTAACAACTGTAGAGATTCACTTAACCCCTGTGGCGAGAGAGGCCGTCTAGTGGGGCAAAGTTTGCTTCACAAATGTCTCGCTTAGCGATGGAAATTTGGGGCTTGGTTGTGGATGTAAGTCGAGGACTAGCTGTATTTTATTTCGAGGTAGCCTCAACGTACGACCCCAATTGTGTTGCTAAGTGAGATTTTATTGGAATTTTGTACCCTTTTACGGCTTTTATGTCCAACTTGTTTTGAGTGAATCATGGCAGTCCTTAAACAAGTCATGTGGTCGTTAAATGAATCCGCCTTCCCCATCGCAGAAGGGGATAACAGGAGTCCAGGATGATCCAACCGTCACAAATTCTAAGTGATTTGACTAGCCTCCGAATGTAAATCCCGCGACGGTCTTAAGGGTGGGGAAAAAAAGGCTCCCGGGTCCCTTTTCCTTTTTCCGGGGCCGTTGTAACTTGGAACAGTCCACAAAACGAATTGTCATTAAGTCAGGGACCGTCCGGGTTCACGAACCATGCCGGTTTGTCGTTTATTTTGGAATCCAACATTGTTTATTCCCAAAATCGGGACCTGACTGTAAGGCCCGGCTTCTTCCCCCCCTTATTCAAGAAAGCTCAGAAACTCTTGAAACTTTTGCCTTTCGAAAGGAACCTTTTATTGAAAGAAGGGGTGAAAGAATCAAAGCAGGCTCTGAATTCCCTCGGGCCACACAACTAGGATTAAGGGCGTTAGGAACCCCCTCGCAACCGTCCGATGTGGATTCCTCCAATCCGCCGGGTGTGAAGATGTTGTTTTTAGCGGCCTCTCTGAGAAAGAGAGATAAGGAAAGTTTCCCAGGGACATCTTCTGGTTTTTCAATCCACACGACCCCTCCCTCCCTTTGCATTTCCCAAGAGGTGAGAATTCCCCAGGAATCGGAGGCGCCAGGCAACGGTTGTAAATCAGGTGAAAAGTTATCCAAAAAGACAAGGCCAGAAATAGGATATTAGGATACATAGAAAGGAAGGAGAAACCAAACGTGTCAAAATCCCAACCTCCCTCCCGCTTTCCTCCGAAGAATGTCAGATACACGGATCGGTTCAGACACTGACCTTCGTTCTCCCTACAGGCTCAACTCGTCAGAATACGGGGAACTGCAGGACAAGCTCCACACCCCCATCCGGAATGTGGCCAACGTGGTCATCCATCAGAGCCTGAGCGACCTCTTTCTGGAGACCTTCAGCTCCCTGGTGGAGAGGAACCCGCCTTACCTGGTTCCCAGCAACCAGGTGAGTTTCCGACCAGTTCTGATGACGGGATGGCAGGCAGTCCGTCCTCGATTTACGACCGGTTCGGGCGTTGAGCAGATCTGCTTTCCCTTTTGACTTGGGTTGTTGGAAAGGCAGCTGGGGAGGAGGCTGGGATTGTCGTAAAGACAGGCCATCGTTGTTTGCCAGAAGGGAGGGGGAGTTTGTTCTCAGTTTATGCACACTCCCCTCTGCCACTGATGATGTTATCTAGTGGGGTCATGAGGTGTCTGAAACAAAGGCTTGGAGAGCACCAAGGACCCCACAGTTCCTTCCTTCTTTCTCTCCTCTCCCTTCTCTTTTCTCCCGTCTCTCTTTCTTCCCATTCCCCCTTCCTTCCTTTTTTTCTCTCCCCTCACTTCTCTTTTCTCCCGTCTTTCTTTCTTCCCATTCCTCTCCCCCTTCCTTCCTTCCTTCCTTCCTTCCTTCCTTCCTTCCTTCCTTCCTTCCTTCCTTCCTTCCTTCTTTTTCTCCCCTCACTTCTCTTTTCTCCCGTCTTTCTTCCCATTCCCCTCCCCCTTCCTTCCTTCCTTCCTTCCTTCCTTCCTTCTCTCCCCTCCCTTCTTTTCTCCTGTCTCTTTCTTCCCATTCCCCCTCCCCCTTCCTTCCTTCCTTCTCTTTTCTCCCGTCTCTCTTCCTATTCCCTCTCCCTCCCTCCCTCCCTCCCTCCTTCCTTCCTTCCTTCCTTCTTTTTCTCCCCTCACTTCTCTTTTCTCCCGTCTTTCTTTCTTCCCATTCCCCTCCCCCTTCCTTCCTTCCTTCCTTCCTTCTCTCCCCTCCCTTCTTTTCTCCTGTCTCTTTCTTCCCATTCCCCCTCCCCCTTCCTTCCTTCCTTCTCTTTTCTCCCGTCTCTCTTCACATTCCCTCTCCCTCCCTCCCTCCTTCTTTCCTTCCTTCCTTCCTTCCTTCCTTCCTTCCTTCCTTCCTTCCTTCCTATCCCTAGATGGGTCATGAAAACCACAAAGTTCAGAGAGCCCCAAGGACCCCACAGCCCTCCTCCTCCTCCTTCCTTCTACTCTGATGATGTTCCCTAGCCCGGTCCCGAGAGGTCTGCAAGAAAACCACCCAGCTCAGTGTCTTTTTAATGACCTCCTGCTTCCTCCTCCCCTCCCCTCCTCCCCTCCCCCTGCAGGAGTTGGACCTCTGCATCGGCTGCATGCAGTCCCCGGCCAACATCAAACTATTGAAGAACTGCCAGGAGCTGCACGATGGCGAATGCCAGCCGTGTTTCTGCTACCCCATGTGGTGCCTGCTCTGCATGGGCAAATGGTTCGCCAGCCAACAGGACCAGCAGCACCCGGAGACCTGGCTCTCCAGCCACGTGCCTTGCCCCACCTGCCGAGCCAGATTCTGCATTTTGGACGTCTGCTCGGTGCAGTGACGGACGCCGCGGCGAGACGGAGGAGAGGAATATGCAATTGACTGTGGCATTCGTGGTCTTATCGTTCCCGGGTATTTCTTTGCAGGATGAATATTTCCATAATGCCCCCCCTTTGATGCCTTTGCAAATTCCATTCTGCTCAGAGCTCGTCCCCTTTAAAATGGGTGGACTTCAACTCCCAGAATTCAGTTGGAAGTCCTTCCGTCTTAAAGGGGCCGAGCTTGAGAAACACTACTCTAGAATGCCGGTTGCAGCCAGTAACTAAAACTAAGAAAGGGATTTTTTTTTTCTTCGCCTCCTAAATCGGGACTGGATTTGGTGAATTGTTCCACACTCCGCCTTAGTCCACAATTCCCATTTTTTTCCCCAAACTTTACAATCCCGGAAAGAGGAACGATGGCGACAGACTCTTTGCAACAGATTTTCTCGTTAGCAAAGATCCTCCTCGGATTCAGACCAAGTCTGCAAATCCTCTCGTAGCGGCATTAAAAGTCCAACCTCTCTTCCGTATGGAGATATTTATATATATATATATATATGTAGGATGATAATCTAAATTATTGCAGTGTTTCCGAAGAGTTTTTTTCGGGAAAGGAAACCGATTAATGGCCTGGGAACTTGTGGGATTAAAAATAGCTTCCCCCCTGCCCTGCCCCCCTCCCCCCGGGAGCTTAGAATCCTGTGTTCGAAGTCTTGCTGCACCAAAATTAATAATTTGGGATGATACCCTGTTGTGTTTTTGGGAAAGGCTGAACTTTGGGTGAAAAAAAGGAGGTTGACATACTTGAAATTTGTCTTTTTCTCACAGTTTCCTAACTCGGATTCACCAAGTGTATTATTCCATCGGGAGACTTTGCAAAGGGCAAATGGAAGTGAAATTATTAGTACATATAATACGAATCAACAATGGTTCGTCAGCAAGATGACTTTAAGTTGGAGTTTGAGTTTTTAATTTTTTCTATTCGTCTTTCGGTCGAGATTGGCGGGTCTGAAATCTCAGGAACTTGAAACTAGGTGGACTTCAACTCCCAGAATGCCCCAGCCAGCATGCTTTAAGTCTGGGAGTTGTAGTCCACCCTTCTTCAAGTGCCACGTTTGAGAAAAAACATCCTATTATCTCAAACGAAGGAAATGCCCCTTCTTAGGTGCCAGCCCCCCCCAGTTCCCCCCCCGCAGTCTCCTCCACAAACATCCCTATAACGTCAAATTAATTCATTTTCTTTAAATCTTTTAAATAATCCATTCAGTTCCTCTGTCAGATTTCCCCCCCCACAAAAATTTCTTGAAGTTACCGATGGTCTGGAGGAGCCACGCCGACAAAAAGATGCTTTTGGTTTCGCAAACGTAGCCGGTTACGTGAAAACGGGGTACAAACTGCACCTTATCTTACACACCTAGGTTTCCCCAAGGTGTGTAGACTTTAATTCCCAGAATTCCCCAGGCTGTAAAACCGCTGCTGAGAATTCTGGCTAAATCTAGAAGTCCTAAAGCATTTCCACCCCCCCCACCCAACTGCTCTTCCTGGTTTACACAGTAGAAAAGAGAAGATAAATTTTTAATTGTAATAGTAACATGAGCATATTAAAATTAAAAATTAATAATTCCAGTTGAGAAATTTTTGGAAAGTATTATCCAGTATTATATTTACGAGCCAAAGGGCCGGAATGAATCCTGTTTTATTTTGCAGAATAAAATTTTTGTTACTTTGTGAGTTCATACAATTCCTGTCTGTTTTTTTATTCCTCTGGAGCTTGAGTCTTGTTATTACTATACCCTTTGACTTCAAATTCGTTTATGCAGGTGGTCCTCAACTTACGACCACAATTGAGGCCAAACTTTCTGTTGGCAATTGATAACGATTTTAAGTGACTTCTGCCTCGTTTTACGACCTTCCTTGCCAGAGTTTTTAAGTGAATTCCCGCAGTTGTAAAGTTTGATGTGCGGTTGTTACGTGTTGCTTGTCAGGTCGCAAAAGGAACTCACTGCAACCACTACCACCATCATAAATGAGTCAGATGCCTAGTGTCCGAATTTTTAATTACATGACCTTGGTGACGCTGCCAGTTGTGTGAAAAAACGGCCATAACTTCAAACGGTGATTAGATGAACTGTTGTACGTTGAGGACTGTTGCACATTGGCAGCACTACAAATAGTTGCTGTAGTTTGGCAAGATTCTGTCTTATAGGCGACGCGCTATAAAGGAAACTAACTGCAAGGACGAGTTGTACATTACATTTTTTTTGGCGCTGTCTGCATTTGGAACGGTTGCTAAAGTAATAGTTGTAAACTCAGGGATGATGTGAAATTCTTGTAACCAACTGCACCAAAAGACGTTCCTCGGGCAGGAACTACTCTCGGCCAACGGGTCGCGAGCACGGCACACAGATGCAATCTACTAATTTAAAAAGGGTTTGTTTTTTTTTTATTGCTGAGAAATCTCTTTACAATCTTGGCTAGTTTACAAACTGCAGAAAAAAAGGTTCGTCGTTAGGAAGGCATCGTCTCCGTCCAAAAAAGAAGAAAAAAAGAACGCATTTGTTCTTATAATTGAACATTTACACCTACATAATAATCCACATTATTCCCGCTCGTTACCGCGAGGTGTTAATAAGATTTTTGCACCAGCTATCACTTTAGTTCCTTTCATAAATATATATATATATATATATCTTGATATCTCAAGTTATTACATAGGTTTACTACTTCTAATTGTTACCTTAAAATCCAACTTTTCTTTTTTAACATTTTTAAAAATACCATCTTGGGAGGTGGGGGAGGGGAAGGGGGTTGCCTCACCAATATAATTTTCTGAAATCTTTCTATCTGGGTCCTTTGTAGAAGGAGTCCTTGATTTACGACCACAATCGAGCCCGCGGTTAAGCCAAGGCAGTGAATTTTGCCCCATTTTTACAACCCTATTTTGTCACGGATATCGTGAAATCGGTGCAGTTGTTCAGTGAATCATGTGGTCGTTAAGCAAATCTGGCTTTTCCCCCGCTGACTGCTTGTCAGAGGGTCACAAAACGGGGTCATAAACACGAGTTAGTTGCGAAGTGCCTGAATTCTGATCTCATGACTGGGTGGGGATGCTGCAACGGTCATTAAGTGTGAAAACCAGACGTTAAGTCAGTTATTTCAGTGCCGTCATAATGTAGGTCAATAAATGAACAGTCGTAAATCAAGGACTGCCTGTATAGCATCTGCAGAGCTGTTCGGGTGTCGATTTTACAAGAAATGTCTTCCAGAATATTTGCGCGTCTTTTCCCGCAAGCTACAAAACAAAAGTTTTATTTTCTTTAGACGGTGCGAGATGGTTTTCTGCAAAGGGGGCCAGTAACATACAGGATCAATTTGTATCTTTATTCTGGGCACTGCCTTCTCCTGCTGAAGAGGGTGTGTTTGTGTGTGCCTGGTGGACACAAACATACACACACGCACCTTGTGCCCGCCTGGTGTTTGAAAAGTCGGCAGCCATCTTTGCTGTGTGGCCAAAGGAAGACCAGAGGTGACGACTCTTGTCAGACGTTTCGTTTTGTGGCTGCAAACGGATGCAGCCTGCCTGCCACTAAACAGTTGTGTGTTTGTATCTTTTGCACGTTTGTGGACTTGTGCGAGATTGTACTTTTATCGATGAGCTCCGTTTAAAAACTTTTTTCAGCTTTTTAAATCAGCTGTTTCCACCCTTGGATCCTAAGACTGACTCTGAAAGTCAAACCAAACACGATGTGGGGAAGGCCAGGGAACAAGGCTGAGCAGTCCTCGACTTACGACCACAATTGGGATCAGACTTTCACAGGATTACACTGACATGGTTACCTAGTTTGGTCATGAAATGTCTGCTAGGGCGTACCAAGGAACCCACAGATTAGAAACTTCCCATTGGCTAAGCAAGTTGGTTGTTAGGTGAGTCACACCCGATTTTTTTTTTGCCATGATTGTTAAGTGAATCATACGGTTGTTAAGCGAATTGAGCTTTTCCCCCATTCACTTTGCTTGTCGGAAGCCGGCTGGGAAGGTTGCAAATTGCGATCATGTGACCTTGCAACTGTCATAAATACATGCCATTGCCAGGCGCCTGGAGATCGATCATGTGACCATGGGGAAATATTGCAACAGGGGTAAGTGCGAGGACCGGTCATAAGTGCAAGGACCAGCCGCAAATCACTTTTTTTCAAATAGTGACTTCAAATAGTCTGTAAACAAATGGTTGAAAGTTGAGGACTACTTGAACTGCTTTAAAAGCAAATTTTAATTTTAAAAAGACCGAGATGGAAACTTGCAAAGTTTAAGGTCCCTTCCAGCTTTATTCTGAATTTAAAAAAATGTCCTTCCTGGGTGGGAGATGTGGGGGGTGGAGAGCTTTTATCAACAGTGCAAAAAGTTGACGATAAATTTTTAGGGAAGATTTGGATATTTGGGCCAAAAATGCAAAATGTTTGGTCTCAGCCCGTCCTGCGGACTTTCAAAAGAAAAAAAAATCAACATTAAATCCTTGTGTTGATCAGTCACACCAAAGGAACCAACACCACAACGGATGATTGCCCTGAGGGAACGGGAAAATGCGCAGGGTTCTGTTCCCAGAATTGTCCAACCAGCGTGTCAGGAATTCCACTCCCAGAATTCCCCATGCCGGCAGGGGAATGCTGGGAATCGGAGTCCACGCATTTTTCAAGTTGCTCGATTTGAAGGAAAGTCACTGCATGCCAAGTTGTGTGGACTGCAAAGGGTCCTCTGAAGGACCGACAAGTTGACAACTGGTTTAGGCAGTGTTGAGGTAGCACAAAATGTGTTTTTATTCCGTTCTCTGGTCCCCAAAGGAATGCTAAACGAGAAGTATTGGTAGTCCTCAACTTACAACAGTTCATTTAATGACATCCAGCACTGCTTTAATGCTCATTAAGGTAATTATATCTCAGCAACCTGTGCTGGTTCCAAGCTCATTAAAGCACCTGCATCTCAACACCCGAGCACAAATTCGAAGCCTATGAAAACAGCTACATTTCAACAATCTGTACTGGCTGGAAGCTTATTAAAGCAGCTATATCTTAACAATTCAGCACTGGTTTACAGCTTGTTAAACAGCTACATCTTAACACCCAACACTGTTTAAATTCTCATTAAAGTAGCTGTATCTCAACAAAACGTGCTGGTTCCAAGCTTATTAAAGCACCTACACCTCAACACCCGAGCACAAATCTGAAGCCTATGAAAGCAGCTACTTCTCAACCCAGCATTGGTTCCAAGCTCATGAAAGCAGCTACCTCTCTTGCCGGGACAACGCTACCTCTCTGCATTCCACAGCATCTTTTCCAGTTTGCATCCAAAACCTTGCACACTCTTAACAGATCTTCATACAATAAAGCGCAACTTCTGCTCAAGAACCTGAAGAGCTGAAGGTGACAAGTTGGAAAGCACAAAGCCGGAACAGGCCGATTTGTACTTTCCACACGTGGCAAGCCTAATCTCATTTGTGTAATCCGTCTGAAATAACAGGAGGGACTTTGCTGTCTATACAATGTGGTGCATGCCACTACGATTGTATGAGGGCAGAGCTGACATTTTTTTGCTAAAAAAAGGGGTAAAAAGTAAACTCACAGCTGGACTCATCCTATCAGGAAATCACTGGGAGATGGGAAATATAATGCCATTCTTATTATTTCCAACTCACAAATTGTGTTCAACGGCATCGGCTTTCTGCAGCTCACAAAAGCTGATTCTTTTTAATAAAATCTGTTGAGACGGAAAAGGGGCTTTCAGATTCCTAATTTTGGACACAGTATGGACACGGCTCTCCTCCTACACAACCTACAATTAAATGCAGAAGAAGGGACAAGCAACGTAGCACCCAACCGAAGCAAGCTTATAGGAAATGAGAGGTACTCTAGGAAATATCTGAACAAACCAAGTAAGAAATAACAACAGATGAGAATATTTATAGTAGATCCTTGATGCTCTCTGAGCTGGCTGGTTGTCTCGGAGATGTTTCATGACCCAACTAGGGAACATCATCAGTGCTGGAAGGGAATGGTGTGTGCAGAGGAGGACTGTGGAATCCTTTGGTCCTCTCTGAAATCATTTGTTTTCTCAGATGTTTCATGACCCAAGTGGGGAACATCATCAGTGCTGGAAGGGATTGTATATAAACAGAGAGCAAATCCCTTTTCCTTTTAGCACTGATGATGTTCTCTAGTTGGGTTGTGAAACATCTGCAAGAAAACCACCAAGCAGAAGTCAGAAAGTTGGATGGAGCAGGAGTAAGACCAAGCAGAGTTACTCTGGGAAGATCAGTTCAGGTGGACAATTCACTCCCACAGCCATCTGTCCTCTTAGATCCAAGCAGTGCGAAACACGGCAACTTTCTATATCTGTGTCAATTCAGCAAAAATCTTGCCATAACTTTGCTCCGCCTCTTTTTATTTGTCGGCATAGGTGCCGTTTACAAACCAGAAACTCAAACCCCTTCAAATCCTCCTCCCTTTCTTCTGCATGGCAAGACAAAATAGCAGGTTGGGAAAATAAATGCGTGTGACTCGGATGGGACACGGAAAATCCAGCAAAAGGACCGTGTCATCAGAAGCAAAATCTCCAGGCTAAGATTCTGGATTGAGTAGATGCGTGCACACCTTGGAGATACCCCCTTCCCTCGACCCGATTCCCCAACATCCCATTATCCACAGCTTCAGACTGTTTATTCCAATCACCTCCACACTGAAAGTCACAGCTCGGCAACACCGAATCCCAAGCTGCGCCCGGCTCGCAACTCCCTCGACGATATGTCAGGATCCAGAAGCCGACGGGCAGCACCTCGCTTGTAAAGCTTCTTCTTAAATATTAAATATTTTCCTTTTAGCCGTAAATGATTTTGTCAAGAAAGACAAATGTCGGTGGGATAGCCCAGGAATTCCTCGTCAGAGCTATCGTTGCAGAGCGAGACATTCCTGACGGGAAACGAGGAATCTGACGAGCCGTGTGCTGTCTCGTCAAGAATGCGGAGGAGCCTCAGGAATGAGCCACCCCTCTCTCCTTCCCCACCAGGCTTCAAACACCCAGGCGCGGTCAACGCTGTGTCGAGTTTTGTTTCTAATGTAAAAAAAGAAAGCTATCTTTCAGTTTTAAATCGAGAAAGACGAAGTCCGCTGGAAAAGCCCTTCGGGAACTTTTTGCAATCGTTTCCCGCGATCCTTAGAGCAGCGAGTCATCCGTGCAGCCGCCTTCCAATCCGTAACGGAACTCTTGCAGGTTGGAGACGCCGTAGAAGTGGACGAAGGCCGCGGCCACCACCAGGACGTGGAAGATCTGATGGGACTGGAACTGCAGAAAAGACAAAAAAAAAATGAGTCAAGGCAAGGAGAATAACAACGGCAAGCATTGCGGTTTCGCCAAAAGGTACCCACCTCTTGACTTTACCGTATCCTGTCTAATCCCCGATCTGAAGTCCCGGTTGCATGTGTAAGGGGTTGGGATCCGTGTCCTAAGCTACCACGTTTTTTGGTTGCTGAGACCACTAAATGTTATCCTGTCTGTGGGACGGATGAGTTACCCAGCCCGCTAAAATTGGGTAGAGTTTTGATTTATGTATGGGTAGTCCTTGACTTACAACAGTTCATTTAGCGACAGTTGAAAGTTACAACATTGAAAAAACTGGCTTCTAACCATTTTTCACACTTACGACCGTTGTCCCATGATCAACGTGATCAAAATTCAGACGCTTGGCAACTGACTCATACTTAGGACGGTCGCAGCATTCCGGGGTTCACATGAGGTTCATCTGCTTTTGACACTTTCTGACCAGCAAAATGAGATTCACTTAACAACCGTGTTCCTAACTTAAAATGGTAGTGATTCGCATAACCACTCAAGTCGTAAATGGGCCAAAAGTCACTTCAGAAATGTCTCATTGGTGACAGAAATGTCGGGCTCATTTGAGGTCATAAGCCGAGGACGACCAGTATTGATTGATTTTATCAATTACATGTAAACAACACATATCCACAGGGGTGGCCATCTTTTCTTTGAAAAAGCCCATGCTCCGCTGCCTGTCTGGGTTCAATCTGATAGCAGAGGTAGTCCCTGACTTACGGCCAATCCGTTTGAAGTTCCAGTGTACCACCAGAAATGACTGAGAAGTTATGACAATGCGCCCCATAATCATCGACTCATGTTTGTGGCCATTTTCTGCCTCTCACAGTTATTTCTGCTAAAAATTAGCGTTTACTTCTAATTTTGGGCCTTATGGGTTCACTTAAGAATGGCGGCGTTCGTTTAACAATCTCAACCTCCGTTAAACACTGCAAAATGTAACAGGTCGTAAAGCCAGGTTGGCCTGGAGAGCAATCTGCTCTACGACCAGCCTGACTGATGACTGGAATGGAAGGACTCTGTTAAGGTTATAAGTCGAGGACTGCCTGAAACATTTTCTTGCACAAAGAAAAAAAACCTATTTAATGTCTCCCTGTGATCGCTTCAACGATATACACTTGTGAGAATGGATGGAAAGTTACCCTTTTATAAAATGTACCAGAAAAATGACAAAAATACTTTAAGTCACTAACTCTTACTGCAAGCCTCAGTAGCAAGGCCAAATGAAAACCACAGAGATCATTACTGTGGGTCAGCCTGATCTGAATGTTCCGGACAAATGGCAAAAGACAAGATAAGAGAGACCCTGTAGTAACAAGGCAGGAGTAATCACCTTTGTCACAAACACAGAATTTGTAAGGGATCTTAGTATGTTGTGTGGAAATGTATAAACGCATGGTGTGAAACTTGAAAACTGCGCTTCATGATCCCAATCCACGTTGGGAAGGGACGTGGAGGCCTGCCTTTGCAAACCCAATTCAATAAACCTTCTTTCTTTGTACATCAGAGTTGTCTGTCGAATCAGTGAGTACAAACTCTGGATGTTTTAAAATCTCACACACTGATACAGGGAGTCCTCGACTTACAACCGTTCGTTTAGTGACCTTCAAGTTACAACGGCCCTGGACTTCTGGTTGGCTCCGCGAGCCTTGTTGACACTCCTCCGTGGGCGCCCGATCCCCGGCACTGTAAAAGCCGCCAGAACAGCCGAAAAACAGCTGTCTGGCGGCTTGAAAACCCTCTCCCCGGGCAAAGGGGAGAGAGAAGAGCTGACAGGTGGAGGTAGAGCCCCCCAAGCGCCCCAGGAGAATTCTTGGGGCGCGAAGGGTGAGAGCTCCCTAGAAGCCTGTCAGTCTGCTCCGGACCTGGGACGACTCCGCTATTTAGCGGAGCTAGAAGCCGCGACCAATTCTGCTGATAACAAGCATGGGATTTTTAACATCTTCAATTGCTGCAGGCAGAACAAGCCAGGAGAAGTCAGACTGCAAGTATTTACACTTAACTCCAATGTTTATAGCCTCCTTCGGAAGTAACAATTTAGTAATTTAAAGGGCGTGGAAAGTGAAAGTTACAAGAAAGTTTCGTTTCGCTGGTAGCCTTTTGCCTGGAAAGAACTTTTGTGTTGAGAGAAGGAGGATTTTAAACGTTAATTTATGATTGGGGAAATCTTTTGACTTTGAGGAACTTTTCTTTTTGGCTTCTGATTAAAATATAACGACCAATTTAAACTGAAAATGGCCTCAAAACCTGTAAAGACTGTACCTATTAAAGGAACTGGAAGCGTTGGAAGCTCCCCAGCTCATACTTCTAGATTGCAAGCCTCTGCCCCCATAACAGACCCACAGACTTTAACGTTTGAGATGATACAAGAAGCCCTACAAGCCACACAAAATAAAATTGCTACTGTGATTAATGAAAAAATTAATGAAACTAATGAAAAAATACAGGCTGTTTCAGAGGATATCTTAACTTGGAATTGGCAAATTAGAGAAAACATATTATTGGCATTTAAATGTTTGGCAGGTGATATTGAAATTGTGGATGATAAAGTGGAAGAAATTAAGCAATCCACGGAAATTTTGGATAATAAAATAGGAGAGACCCAGAACAGACTTGAAAGGGCTGAAGTTGATGTAACGATGTTACAATATAGAGATATGGAATTTGCTTTAAGATTCAGAGGGGTGAAGGAGAATAAACAAGAGAACTTGAAATAAATGATGTCAGAGGCATTGGCACAGTTGCTGGGGGAGACGAAAATTGAGCTGGGCTGTCAGATTGACAAAGCATATTGTGTTAACTCTTGGGTGGTCAGACAGAAACACTTACCAAGAGACATTGTAATATATTTTACTACAAGGAGAGTACGCAATGAAATTTTACAGGCTACTTTTAAAAACAAGCTTCAGGTTGAAGGCCAGGAGGTGATGACAATGAAAGAAATCCCCCCCAAGGTGCTGAGAGCGAGAAGGGAGTATGCTTTTCTGGTGGATGAGCTGAAAAAACGTCAATTAAAGTACAGATGGGAGGTCCCAGCCGGTTTAGTAGTGACGTATTCAGGAGAGAGATATCAGCTTAATACAATATGGAAAGCAAGAGATTTTTATATCAATGTATTAAAGGCTGGGACACCCAAATCACCAGAAGGAAAAAGAAAGAAGGAAGTACTGGAAGGAGAGAGAGAAGAGCTACTGACAGTAGTTCAGGGGGGAGCTTTGACTGGTCAAGAAGAACCACTACAAATTCAGATGGCTGTTCAAGATGTGGATTTAATTGATATATCTGCAGAACCGAAGGATCAAAGACAGACCAGAGCAGCAACAGCTAAGCGTAAGGAAGAATTAAGACAGCAACAACAACAACAACAACTGCAGATAGCAACTCAAGAAACTACCAAAACAGAAGCTGTGGGGGGAGCAAGACCTAAAGGTCAAATGAGGCAAGACCATCAAAAATTGCTCCAAGCACTTCAGAGGCCCCGAGATGGGAACTAGATTTTTGACTTGGAATGTCAATGGTTTGAATTCTCCACAGAAGAGAAGGAAAATATTTCACTATCTTAAACAATTTAAGAATGAAGTAATTTGTTTACAAGAGACTCATATTAGGATACAAGATCAAAAATATTTGACAAATGCAAGATTAGGTACATATTATGTAGCAGCAGCACCAGAGAAGAAAAATGGTATAGTTATATATGTGAAAAGAGACTTAATTGCAAAATTAGTTGAAGCAGATGATCAAGGAAGATTTTTAGTGATTGAACTTTTAATAAAAGGAGAAAAAACACTTGTAATTGGAGTATATGCCCCAAACCAACAACAAGAAAAATGTTATAACTTACTACACTCAAAGTTGACAATGGAGATATAAAACTTGTATCCTATTGGGGGATTGGAATGGTGTTTTGGACGTAAAAAAAGATAAGAAGTGACCTAAACAAAATGTTTTAACAAGAGCAAAATTGCCCAAACCGTTTTGGGAGATGGACGACTGGGAGTTGAGGGATATTTGGCGTGAAAGAAACCCAGAAGAAAAAGACTTTACTTTTTTCTCGGATAGACATCAATCTTTTTCAAGGATTGATTTTATATTAATTACCAATGATCTCTTATCTAGGGTGAAGAACACGAAGATTTGTTCAAGAACATTGACAGACCATAGTCCAGTCTGGCTGGAATTGAAGTATGGAAAAGGGCCTAGGAGGTCCTGGAGTTAAATGATAACTTGTTTAGATATGAAGAAAATGTAAAAGAGTGTAAAAAATCTGTGAAAGAATTTTTTGTTATGAATATGCAAAAGGGGACATCTATGGAAGTGGTACGGGATGCAAGTAAAGTGTACATGCGACGAATTTTGATATATTTGAATAATAAATATAGAAAGAAACAGGGGGGAAAAAGAAAAGAATTAGAAGATGAGATTAATAAACAGGAACGGGCTTTAATAGCCAACCCAACAGATAAGAAAATTAAAGAGGCAATCAATTTATTGAAGGGTCAGTTTAATATGTTAATAGCAGATCAAGTGGCAACCAACTTACAATATGCAAAACATAATACTTTTTGTAATGCTAATAAACCAGGCAGGTGGTTGGCATATTTGTTAAGGAAAAGGCAGAAAGCAAGGATAATAGAGAAAATAAAATACAAGGGTAAGGAGGTTTATGAGCAAGAATTGATTAAAAAATCTTTTTAGAGTTCTACTCAAGGCTGTATATTGGTGATAAAATTCAAGATATAGATATAGATAGATATCTGCAGAAAGAGAACATTTATATAACTTCAAAAGAGCAGAGGGACAGCTTAAATCAATTGATAACTTCCGAGGAAATTATGTTTGCAATTAAGCAGTTGAAAGTGGGCAAAGCTCCTGGAATGGATGGTTTGACAGCTATTTATTATAAAAGTTTACAGGAGGAAATGGTGGAACCATTGAAGGAATTATTCAAT